ATTTATTTTTGAATGTATATTGCCCCAATTATGGTTATGGACGATAAGCTATATATTTTATGTATTGCTATCTAATGTTACCAGCATATCAATTTAGCTTGCTTTAAGTATGTTAATTTTGTTAATGCAGGTTAATATTGTAGTGAAGACAACAAATAGCAAGGATCCTTGATAGGCCATATCATTTGACACTAGATGCAGAAGGAAGCTCCTTCACAGACCGCTGCCAAGATACAAAAGACGCGCTATACCTACCAACAGTCATCTTACTGAAACACACAATGAGTGTGTTTCAGTACAGATTACTTTTTGAATGAGTCACAATAAAGGGCAGGCAATATAATTTATAGGACGGATATAATTTAAGGCGTCCAAGGGACAAAGATAGGTTAGAAAATAGATAAGTAAAAAAGAAGTATGAAAGAAAAAAATTAAAATACAAGAAAATTTTTAAATATGGGCCCTTTAATGCCTAACATGATCTAATAACAGTACAGTCTATCTGTCTATATTTTTGCTCCTCAAATGGGCCCAGAGAGAATTCATTTAGGCAAATGAAAGGAAAACAAGGGGAAACAGATATGCTAGCAGGAGAAGAAGGGGGAGGCTAGAGGGGAACTTTCATCAAGTTCTGTTAGGAAGATTAATTTGAGATAACAGTAATTCCATCGGAACTCACCAGCATTTCCGTTTACTCATTCAATCCAAGTATTCAACCAGCAATCAAAATTATATCAGACCAATTTGCCTTCATTACTACAATCACTTACAAACTAGAAAGGAATAACAGACTTTATCAAAACAAAGTGACAAAGGAAAAGAAATAACAGCAGATAACTGTATTAGTATTAAATGCTGAATGAAATGCAGAAAAGGCACAAAAACATTTGACAGGGAACTGCAACAAATTCAAAAACCAAACAGTACAATCATCATTAATGGCAAGGGGTGAGAGCAGGTCAAGCTCAAATGTAAACAAACACGTCAGTAATGTGGCTCATATGCTCCCCCCTTCCACACTAAAGAACGAAAACATGGCATCAGTGTCTGTTCACAGAGAGACACTGCAAAAACAGCAATTTCCTGAGTTTATTTTCCTTTTCCATTTTTATTTAATTTCTGAAAGATTTGTCATGGCATAGCATGGGCTGAACCAGAGGAAAAAATATCCACAGGACCCAGCTGCCTGGGTAGCATATTAGCCTGTTATGGCACACCAGGGGGTATTGTGGGTATTGTGTAGTATGCATTAGTGTAGAATCATACAGCAGTCAGCAGTCAGATACAGAAAGATGAGCAGAGAAGAAGAGTTTTCTGAGGTCAGTCAGTGTGAGAAAAGGAGGTCTGGTTTATCTGAGGTGAAACCAACTCATTTACATAATTAATAACCATACTAAAAATCTTTCTACCACCATTACAAAGGTCAGCTCTTTAAACGTAGGTAGGTTTTTCTTTTAGCACAAATAGCTGGTGCCCATAAGCATTGCAGGCAACACTGTACACTGAAGACAGAGCTTTCAACCTTGAACCTGAGGCTTATTATTTGGTATGCACAGATATGAAAATTGTGGGCTGATCCGGATATCCAATATTTTTCACGTACATGTCAATTGCAAAGTCGATGTTGATACATAAACAATTACAAAATGTATAACTGGGACTAAATCAACTTGGATTAGCATTACAGAGAAACAAAACATTTAGTTCTATAGTGTGACAATTGCAGTAAAATGAATAAAGTGCAGTCCAGGAAACAAAGTGTCAAAATAAATGTGCTGCTTTTCCGAAATACAATAAATACATCATCAAATATTGGATGGAAATTTTGCTCAAATATTTTTTTTGTAATCAACTATATGCCAATACCTATATGATTCCAACATCATTGTGCATCCCCATTTATTTATTAAGTTACTTAGTTACTTGAATTATTACAGGACTAATTTGTAAGTTATGTAGTTAAAAGAGTGAGGAACTGAAGTGTGGGCCACATACAGGCCCTTAGGGTTTGAGTGCAAAATTCTGTTTAAGATAAGACCTTAAATACAGGGTAGTAGTGAACAGCAGAGAAAGCATCTGGCTGAAGATGCATGGCCAGTTTTTGGTACCTGTAACTGTGTCTGTGGTAGGAATATTCCAGCTTTAAGGATCAGCCACAAAAGGGCACGTATTCTTCAGCCAAAACACCACAATGTGGCACTTCATGAATCCAACACAGCTAGCTCCAGCCATACTTATTCTTCTCTTTCTTTCTTTTTCAGACGGGACCTCCTGCTGCTGGCTCTTTCTTGGAAACACTCAGTCTGTACAATGATATGAGGTCAGTTGGTAGGTCTAAAGGGCCACTAAACATTCCACCTGACTCATCAGCGGTGCTAATGCATACAAAACACATTCTCATGCACTGACGTCATGGTGGAATTCAAAAGGGGCATAATACAGAAATTAGTCTTCTGTCAGAAGAATAGTAAAAGCAGATTGAGAGACAGCAAAAGAGAGAGAGAGAGAGAGAGAGAGAGAGAGAGAGAGAGAGAGAGAGAGAGAGAGATTCATAGGAAGTACTCACAGAATAAACTAGTGTAGTGTAAATTGCGTTTCAGTGAGTCTCTCAATCTCCAGAGAGATGAATCAGACATGACTGCTTCATTAGAAGACCATAATTCCCTCCGTCTCCCAATAACTACTGGAGGTGGTTCAAAAGACTGTGCATGGGGTGTTCTTTCCACCCCTCTGTCTGTTTAGCACACTGTTGTGTCTTCACCAGGGAGAAAAACCAAACACTGTCTATGCACACACACTCATATTCATAGGCTTTTGACAGATCACTGTAGACTAGGAACATGACTGATAAGGTTTTGGCAGTTGTGGCTAAACAAAACACAAAAATTGGGGTCTAACAGCTGAATTAATAGTTTTATCAAAATTCAAAGCTTTTCAAAGCAAAGCATTTATGACTGTTCTCAGAGGTTTTGCACAGCCTGCCTCAAAAACTTGGCAGCACATTTTACACAATGGTAAGTTACCTTAATTTACAAAAGCCACCAGAGAGACATCTGAGAGGTAAAAATGAATATGTTAATTCAAATTGATGATTACCCAGCTATAATGTTTTTACTAATTGCCCATATGGTCTGTTAACCTCTGTCTTCTTAAAGTATTGTTTGTTCATGGGTTTTAATGCTGCACAGGACACAGTGTAGAAGCATAAATCAGTAGACACAAAGGGTCAAAAGGAAGGAAAACCTAATAGCCTTGAAAAACTAGATATTAATTTCAGTGCCTTTAAGTATTTTGTTTGGAGTTTCTTTTAATGCTTCTCAGACATAAACTACTTCTTGTGAATATTAACAGAACATTAAGTTTGCACAATGCACATTGAACGAATGAGCAGATGCTGGCAGTTTCTCACACATTCTGCCACTTTTAAACAATCAGAGGAAATTTGTCACGTTTGACCAAGCCGTGTGGGAAATCGAGGAAGAGAAACAGAACGAATTCATCGTTTGGAGTTGAAACAGTATTATTACCATGATGCTGCAAGTATTTAACAGATAGAAGAACATTAGTGTCAGCTGAGCAGCAGCCCACATACAACCTCCCACAAAAAGGTCAGACTAACTAGAATGTATCAGGATCTTCAGGAAGGCTGAGACAGAGAGGCTGGCATTTATTACATCCGAAGGCAAAGTGGCATGTATAAACAGAGGGAACGCATTCACGGTGTATAAACACAATGTGTTGATGTTGGCTTGCTAGCCAGCCATGATAATGAAATACATAAATAAAAAACATTGTACTCATAAGCCCAATTCAAATCTCTAGACTTGCAGACACGTGGACTTTAACATGTGTGTTTCAAAGAAAGTCCACATGGCTGTAGGGCTGTTTTATTCAGTCCTTCATCTAGGTCATAAGGGGGATAATGAGGAATTTTTGCAAACTTCAAGAGAGGCCGCTTGGTACACAGGCTTCAGCAGACTTTGCTCATGGAACATAAAGAAGACAACATGAACGAAAACAGAAGGAATTTTGGTGTGATTATCATTAGAACTATAAGTTGAGCTGAAGTCCCCTGTGATGCATTACAGGATTTTTATGTTATATTGAGGCCATATCATCATATGTTATACCAAGGCTCATCTTAAACACAAAGAAATACAAAAGTCAGGGTAAGCCATTGCAAGATGTATTATCTAATAATCATCTTTCTTGGAAAAGCTATGCACCCCAGTCACTAATGCACTGACACAGCTGATCAGGAAATGAATAAAAGGCTTGTTGTTATGTCTGGATTATTTCACTGTCATGGCACAAACCCAATTTTTAATCATAATCAGGTACTGACCCACTGTCCTGAAATCCTACTGTTGAAAGAATGCAGGTCTATGAAATAATGATGCATATGATTTCTTGGAAATGGTGTTTCTATTTAAAACCACATGAACCGTTTTCCATTACTCAGAAGAGATAAAGCTATTGATTGCATCCTTACAAAATGACTGAACAGCAGAATATGTGCTTACGTGAGTGAAATATCTGTACATGCACAAAACTGCTACTGCTCTAGTCCTGTGAAACATCTAATGTTAATCCCCATAATGTCAAGAGCAACCACCAAAAAGGCCCCAGACTTCACACTCTTAATGCTCTTCACTAAGACTGATGTAACTTCATCTGACTCATTAACATCTCCAGCACTGCTCTATGTGAATGCCACACTCTGAACGCCACACCTCTAATGCAGCTCATAATCAGCACGTATCAGAGGAGAGGGTGAATCTTTCAAAGCCAGGAAAGACAGAGACATAGAGAAACCATACACATAGGACACAGAATGCAATGTGGGACTAACATGGTTGAGATGAACGCTTCACCATTTATGCATGGGTCCTATACTTCTACCAAATGCTGTTTCGGGGATGATTTGCTTGAAAATATAACATGTCAGTTTATCATTTCAATGCCTCAGTTAGAAAGAGAAGCCCATAAATAAAAGATACCTGCTTGAATTCAACTGCTGTGTAGAGACAGAGTCCTCCTCCTTTGCCAAGAAAGGCCTTGTCAGTAGACTGAAAGACAGAAACAGTGGTGGGTCCTTGTCTTTGTATTTTCAAGAAGGTGATAAAAACTGAGATTGAAAGATTGAAAGAATTGATTGAAGGAGTTTCATGCCACTGGTGATTACATTAAAAGCATCGAGACTGATGAGATGGGTTGGAGGGGAGAAGTTCAAAAGAGCCCTTATATACATACACAAGAAGACAAATTGATACAGTAAATGAATTTACATTTAGGACGATAATTCCCAATTTGGTTGCACCCAAAGGACCTTTTGCAATGATATTACATGAAATATCATTGACACTGAGAAATAACACTATTTCACTATTAGGGCTAAATCTGTACTTGTCCACCCCACAGTCATGACTATTTCAGAGCGAATAGGGCAGTGCATGGCCTAAGAACTTATAACAGAAGGGCTCTACCCACAGACTGGAAGAATTAACTCGACAAATCCAGTAGCACTGTTTTTTTTAGGAGAAGTGGTTAGAGCACACAGTTAGCAACTACAGAGTCATAGGTCCACAGACAGGTTGTACAGGCACTCCACAAAATTCAGGTATCAGTTGGCTGTCAGGGACATAGCTTTAGCCCCTAGGAACCCCTAATTGACTCTATTCTAAAAAGTTGCTCTACATTACCTGAGCACCTCTGCTCTAAAGTAGCACACCAGCTCTGCAATCCACCTCTTTCTTAGACCTCACAACAGAGTGCACTAAAGACCTATTACTCCAGGGTCTGAAGCACACCACCCTGTTTTAGCGAAGCGCTTTAGGGGAACTCTATAGGCTAAGGGGGCAGACAAACAAGACAATGGAGCACAGAATTAATAGGTTACAAAGGAGTGTGTTGAACTGGGTGGATGAGTGAATGGATGGATGGATTTGTGGATGGAGAATTATGCAGTAACTTCAGTGTTAGTCACTATACTCACTGTGAAGCATCTGTCACCACAGGGAGTGGAATAAATTCACTAGCGAAGTCCATGTCATCCACTAGGCTGTTAGTGCGTGAGATATCAGGGGGTCCATCCAGCTTTTTCTTAACTGCAAGAAAGCATATCAGCAACTTTAACGAAATATTCCTCAAAATGAAAACCAATTCACAGCTGCAAAGAATTAAGCAATGGTTCAGCCTAAAATCCAACTTTGCCTCTAAATTGGCTACACTAGCTTCATAGCTCTAGGGCAAAACAAAAGAAGCAGACTCTGGATGCCAAACATGTCTTGGTTGATTGACTACTTTTGGGCTAGGGTAAAAATTGTGTAAATTTCATTTTGGGATGAGTTATCACTTCAGCTGGGAATACAAAAAGCAATAAAGTAAAAGAAAGTAAGAGGAGATGATGTGATACCTGGAGATGCAGGGCAGCTAAGATTGAAAGAAGACCAGGAGTGCTGACGGTCTGTGGACATGCATTAGAACACAAAAGGCACACAAACACACACAAAAATGTGTTTCATGGAACAAAACAAAAAAACAAAACATACCAATATAAACATAGTTTCTCAAACAACATGCAGAGACTACACTATGAGTTTGCCTTGTCACCCACACAGCTTTAGTCAACTAAATGTAGTGCAGTCAGCCTTGTGAAATGTACTAATTAAATGACTTTTAATAAAAGTCAGCTCGTAGACAGTGTTTTGATTTGTGAGTCAAATGACTTCTGCAACAGTAACTAAACAGCACAGCCCAGTGGACCTTAACGATCACTTAGACAGAGAGATACAGAGTTGGCACACAGGAGAAGTGAAATAAACAGAAAAAGAGTGAGACAGAGAGGCAGACAGAGAGAATGAGTGAAAGAGTGAGAGAGAGAATAATAGAGAAATAAAGAAAGCGGCCCAGTCAAGAGCTTAGTCTTATTAATAGCACCCCAGTCTGCACAAACACGTTTGGTTTGGTAGGGCCCTGGCCAATAAAAACAAACACAGTGCCTGGTGACAGCAGGGTCCTGGAGCCACAACCCCATTCACAGATTCTCTCAGGCCATCGGACCAGACAGATAACAGTGAGATAAGCCGGATGTTGACCAAACTCAACAATGCCCAGTTTATTTCTGACCACTGATGGCCCACAATGGTCTGATCTATCATTATTCCGCAAACACCAACAATCTAAGATTGCCATTTGGTTTAAACGCCATTGTTCACCAGCCTAAAGTTGACCTATCCAAAGAAAAAAACTACTGGGTTGCTGATGTACACTTGCTTACGACTGTTGACCTATTTCATCTAATTTACGTACATTCCTGCATTTTCTAGTTTTTCTAAAGCCAGCAGCTAAAACAGGAATATTATTGTTGGTTTAGAAAATAGAGAACAAGCAGTCTCAGACATAAGGGCCAAGCTGAGTTAATAGGTCTATTAAAAAATCTCTACCAGGGCAGCACAGTGTAGCACAGTAAGTGAATTCCTGTTTTCTCACTCACACGGAGCTCCACAATTTTGTCCCACCTTAGAGTATTAAAGCATAAAAGACTCTCCAAGCTACATGAAATAAAGGAATCAACTATCTGCTCCTTAACACAAGGAACTTTTACCTCATAAATTTTCTAGTTAGTGGATCTATTAGAAATATGTCCAAGGCAGCTTTTTCTCCACCTTTATGCTGCGCCTTGATCTTGCAAACAAAACTGGCACCTGCAAACATGCAGTCTGATTAACCCCTTGAACTCTGGATTACTATTTCATTAGTAATCTTAAGATTTATTATTCAGTAAATACAACAAAATTAATACGTAAGGTATGCAGTTATAAGATTAGGGAATTTAAATTTGGGCCCACATACAGACCTTTAGGGTTAAGATGTTTTAACAAAAGCAATACCAGTAGCAGAAATCTTTTGACAAAATCTAAATGTTTATAATTAAAAGGGTCTGACTGCTTGTCTTTGATTTAGTTCTGTGTTCTCAGGCAATGACATAATTAAAAATAATGAATAAAAAAACATGAAAAGAAGGCAAAGGTACAGCAAAGCAACAGGCATGGTGCAATCACACATGGAACTCACCTGTCTGCCTGAACATCTTTGTGATGCCTGCAGGGATAAAAGTAGGAAGCAGATCAAGCAAACATTCTTCACATCATTTTGGTATATTTACAAAAATAATGTTGAGGGATCATCGATTATTAAAATACCATTGAATTCCATTTGTCAATCAACTGTCATTCTAGAAAGTGTACAAATAACTGCACCCTGAGGACCCAGAGCAACACTCTTTGGTTGAAAGGACTGTTTTTTGTTTCTAAATCTCTCTTGTGCCCTCTCTAGGCTCCTTGAGAAAAATGAACTTCAACCCAAGAATTTTCCACTAGTTTTACATTACTAGTTCTACTAGTTTTACTGTAGAAGAAACCTCATGGTTCTGCGTAATGGGTTCCGACAATTCCACATCTAAAGCCTAAAATATCAGTATATTTTCTCTTGGTTGTGCACACTTCAGATGCCCCTGGATCTTAAAGACTAACTGACTGAGCTTCATGATAAGCTGAAGTGTTAATGAGCAATTTTTTTGGGTAAAGTTCAAAGTCTTACGGACATATGGTCCTATTTCATTATCTCTCTTTCCCACTGAACTAATTAAGCTTCAGAAGAGACATTTTCTTTTTTCCAGTAACTGGTTTCTCTGCTGGGGACTGTCTCTGCTTTTATGATAAAGTCATTTGACAGGAAAAACCTGTAAAAACCCACAAAAACAGCCTTATTAACAGTAAGAGGGCGTAGATTCGTGTGGCAGGGGCTCGTTTTTACACAGGATGTGTTCCAGTCACATATGGAAAATGACATCTATCACCAGTATGGAAAAATGGGCCAGGTCAAACATTCTTTTTTATCTATTTTACTGTTCTTTCCTCTCTATTGCTGTTGTAAGCACTCCTGCTAAAGGCAAAGGGCAGAAAAGTTGAATCTCTAAACTAAAGATCAATGGACACAGTAGAGTACTTGAATGTGAATTATCCAGCTAAGCCACAGCACCAACGTGAGCCACAACACTGGACCCTACTCTGAGCATATCATGTGCGGCCTGGAAGCAGCGTGTGCATAAACTGGCTTCGTTGGGAAGAAGGAATGTCAGGGTTAGTCTCTCCTCCACCACATGCACGTGATGTGTCACCGAATCTAGGTCATGTGGAAAGAGTATCAAAGCAAATATTTTTTTTTTGCCAAATATTGTAATACAAAATAATAAATAAGGAACAGTTTTTGTGTCCATGTCAATGGTATGCGTCTGTGAAAAACTTCCTTTTACAACAGGGGGTAGTAAAGACACCCATGGTCACTTGCAGGATTATCTGGGAAGGGATTATTCAGGAAAGTTTGAGCTAAAAATGTTTTTTTAACTATTCAATATTTTTTCTTTTTTATGAGGGACTCCAGGCTGATATATGATCAACTGAAAACCAAATGAAAATTTCTGTATTATTTTTTTGTTCCTAATAGAAAAAATGACTGTTTTGATTCAGGTTCAGATTGTTATTACTAGCACTGTGACATTATTGAGGGTATGTTTTCTGAACTAAATGTAGGATCCATGCATCACTAACAGGGCTTTAATACCTGGAGGTTCCTCAAGGAAGAAGGGCACCTCTCTCTTGTCCTCTTTGTCGTCTATATGGTCATAGGTGATTTGAGGGATGGACAGGGCCTTCTCTCCTGCGTTCCCCAGGGAACCATTATCACGGGTGGACTTCAGCCTCCGCTTATAGCGCTTACTCTGTATTCAAAACAAAAAAGAATGGAGATGCCAGGTATGTGAAAATAAAAGTGTCATTTATGTGAGGTACGGACAGAGTGTATTCTGTATTCTATTGACCAAATTCTACCAAATTAAAACTGTTTAAAAAACAATTAAACATTCAGACCTTGGATATTTACAGCTTCTGATTTATGTAGCCCCAAGGCTTTAATTGAGACATATATATACAAAACCCTCATTTATAAGGTACTTTCTATTGGGAGGTGCCTGCCTCAAACTCTAACCTATAAATTTTAACTTTTGAAAATAATACTTAAAATATTATTAAAACACATAAAAAAACTATTCAAAAAATGGTGTCTTATGTTTTCATGTCACTACTGAAACACAAACAGCTTTAGTCCATAGGTGGAGCTTCATTTTAACCATGCCCCTGCATTTTAGAGCAGAAAGTGAGACTGCATCCCCGCATCATATGGCTACATGGTAAGCAAGTAGACCCCAGTTTTTTGAAGTAAATGTGTCCCAAAGTCTGAAAATCAGTGTGTAACATCAAGAACAGTTACTGCCAAAACACACTTTTCCCTAATTAAGTAAACATTTTTGTGTTTTAATGAAAAATATTATGATTTTATGCGTATACAACTGTACAAAGCTGTGTTTGCTAGTCATGTAGTACTTTTTTGAGTTCTGCTCAAAATTAGATCAAATTTTAACTACTGAAACAGTGACTACAACATTTGGTGAAGTTTTGGTAGAGATATGATTGTTTTGCTAGTGAAAAAATTGGAATGTTCAATATTTGTTTTAATAAAATAAAGATAATTACGGTATAGGGTCACTCAAAGCAAATGGTACCAGTTATGTGAAGATAAAAGATAGAAGTTGTGTGAAGCACAGACAAACTGTGAAGGCTGTTCAGACATAGGCAACAAAAGAGTGTAAAGGGTGTGCTGGACTTGTGAGAAAAGTGTCTGTGTTTTTTGAAATACTTCGACCTTAACGTGTCCTTTACATCAAAAAAGTGAAGAACATTTGAAATGTTTGATGTCATGAAAAGGGTTATTCTGTAGTTTGAAGCACTAAGAAAGAATTGCTGTTCTGACAGAGCAGTCTCTGTCTATGCTGTAGTGGTGATGCAGAAGGCACACTTCTACACTGTTGTGGCTCTAGCCTAAGGCCTTTTCCCATATAGCCTTATGGAGAAAAAAAGCAAATGTACACTTCAGCTGTGACGCACATCATTCACCGCACACGTTGGTCAACAAAGATTCATTTAATGAAATTTAATCTAAATGTTATCAGCAATCTACGAAGCAGCACAGAGATGCCTTTGTTCTCCTCTTTGCGAAAGAGAGGAAGGCATTTGAAATTTATGCAAGAAATACTACAGGTCCAGACACATTTGTTGTACTTGACAAGTGGAATAGAAATGTGGAAAATGATATGAAATGCAAATTTGCCCTTCTGAGAGAATTTCATAAATATTTCATAGTATCCACCCACTGTCAATAGAAACGTGCTCCATGATCTGATGACTTTTGTGGTTGTTCAGCTAATGTTCAACTTCTATGATTAAATCCTTTCATTTTCATTACTAGCGCGCTTTAAATTGCAGAATTTCTCTCCTGATTTGAGCGTGAGTCAAACAGGCTTTGATAATGAAATTGCTTTTTCCCATTACACTGGACGGCCCGTGTAGGAGGATAGTAGTGGGGATCAGTGAATGACCGCTTTGGAAATGAGGCAGGAATGAATGGTCGGTTTATGAACGAAAGAATAGTCACACACCCGCGCAGAGAAAGAGGTGGAAGTGGCGGCCGCTCTCCCAATATGTTTGGAGACAGAGCTACACAAAGATTTTTTTGTTGTTGTTGCGCTACACAAAGGTTTGCTCCCAGGAGAGAGGCGGCCGTGACATCATCTCATCTGACTGTGTCATTGTGTAGAGAAGACAAAGGGGCCCGGGGTCAACTGGGTGTCCAGAGGAGAGAGTGAGGGATACAGCAAGTATGAGAGAGAGAGAGAGAGAGAAAGTGTAATTCTCATTCTTTCAATGCTTGTCCCATGACTTCAGACCACAGTATTACACTTCAACCTACACACAGTAAATTCCCACCATTCACTATAAAAGTAAAAAAACTCACTACAAAAAATCCAACCCACTACATTTAACCATGTAAAGCGTACAAAGCAAAGAGAAGCAGATGACCTTCACCACTATGGCACAATGTCCCTATTACACTTTCTGCAAACTGATCCAGTCCATTCTAACACACTTAATTCTATCTGCCAAACACACCTTTGTCGCTTCACCTGCACCAGGTGCGTATGTGAATGGGCCCAAGGCAAAGATTACATACAATGTGACTCTAGAGAAGCTTAGAAAGGTTTACCTTACAGTGACCTACTATAGTCACTCAGTGAGCTTAACACAGGAAGGACAATGACAAAAAAGACACAAAGGAATAAAGTAAAAGCAGAGGCAGCTCCACTTGCAAACATCAAGAGAGAGAGAGTACCAGTTTTCTGAAGTTTCCAGGACTGGAGTTCTCTGAGTTTATGACTGGGATGTAGTCACCCGTCAACACGTACATCTTCCAGGTAGCTGGACAGCCATCAGGTTTTTCACAAGCGTAGCATCGCCACAGTGTCTGCAAATAAGAAAAGCTGGGTGATCCCACAGTTGGGGTGCCATTTATATCTCACTGATTGTACTTTTACAAATATGTGTGAAAAGCAAAGATGAAAGACATTTCAAATACAGGTAAAGTGTCCTATTTGCATTTCTCAGATAAACAAAACATTAATAAAACCTATAGCACTTAGAAAAATCTATAAATACTGTTTACTTTGAAATACAATCATTAAAATACTTCAAAGTATTGTATTATTTTTGCATTAACGTGTGAATCCGTTTAATATTTCACATCTTAAACATCATTTTTCATGAGTCATCCATCTTAACTTATGAAAAATGTACGTTTTAGTGTACCACAATATTTATTCAACCCTGTTACCTGAACATATTCACCCCTGTGAAAAAGTTGGAATATCTGAAAGTCACATTTTCAACAGGAATTTACATCATCTGACTTTTCCTGAAGATCATGAGAAAGAGAAAAGTTCTCCCATTGTTTTTTCTTTATTTACTTGGTGATACTGTGATATTGACTGACAAGGTCACTTTGAAAGCATAATAAGGAGGCTAGCTAACCACATTTTGTGCATTTGCTAAATCTATGCAACATTTAACTTTTTTAAGGAATTACAAGAAACCTTGTAAACAATGAGATGGGTTAACAGTTGATGGTTAGATACATGTGTTACTTGATTCAAGGTTGAAAAAGGTTAATATTTTTAAGAACTGCAATGGATAATGACGATGCAATTGAGGAATCACCCAGAAATCATTCACCATTTGCGCTGCTAGAAACACTTTAAGGAATAGTTCAGAACTAACACATTCACTAATAGCCATTATACAAAATGATGACATTCATGTCCTGCTAGCTCCCATTCATTATTATGACAACTGCGTTATCATATTTTGCATCCAAGTGTCTTTTTCTGAAAGATAACTTTGTTTGTCCCATAGGGAAACTGGTCTTAGACATACAGGCTACCACGAAAATCAACAAATTTGAAATCAACAAATAACTTGAGAATGACGTAATGGCAAACTCATTCTTTTTGGAATGTAGTGCAAGAACACAAGGTCATCTGCACTGAAAAATGTTTATTTACTTTTGGCAATAACTGTATTACTGTGTATAAGTGTATATTACATAATGTGTATTTTATTCATGTGGAAACGATGTACACATTAGAATGCTTTGTCAGTACCTGTATTAGAGAGGCAGCAGCTGGGATTTGGCGATTGAAGTGTTTCTGTCTCTGTTTTTGTTGCACCTTCAGAGCAAAGCCTGAACCCAGAATTCCCTGAAATGACAGTTAATGTTGGGAGGTGTTGCTCTTTTACATATAAGACCTGTTTTCATGTTCCTCTTATAATGATTAAGGTCCTAGATCTGCATAATCTAACCAGATTAAAAAGAGGTATTATCAACCTCTTGCGTAAACATAAATAGCATTGCATAACTAAAAAAAATACAAATGTATTTATGTGACTATCCACTTACAAATCACTCAGATGAACACTCAGTTTCAAACAGTGAGAGAACTCACAGTGACCAATATGTCCAGTTAGAGTTTGTTGTATGAAATAATGTGCATTCCTAATGTTGCAGTTGTGCATTACTTAAAGTGTTATGTGAGAACTCAGGTCCCTGGGGGCCCTGCTTTCTCTTTAATGGACCCCATTAACCCTGGTACCCCATTACTACAGGGGCCTCTATAGGAAAACATTGCCCCAGGGCACCAGACAGGGTCTGAGAATTGTGTAGTGTGTGTGTGTGTGTGTGTGTGTGTGTGCGCGCCTATGTGAGTAAGAGGAAGGGAGAGAGAGAGAGATGGTATTTACCGCTGGCAGAGCAAAGAAGGAGATAGCAAACACACTAAAACAGGAGGCGATGGCCTTCCCTATCCACGTCTGGGGAACTTTGTCTCCATAACCTATTGTAGTCACAGTGACCTGTAGAAAAGAAGGGAAATTACTTTGTTTTATTTTCATCATCAGATCTACTTATAAAAGACAGAGACAGTTCTGAGGTTCAGTAAACAACATCAGAACATAACTGAGAAATGTATGTCTTTGCTGATGTGCCTGTGATAAACACTGTGCTTCATCATCTGTGACGTATCTGTGCTCTCTACTCTGGCTTGAAACAAACTAGACCAGTTCTCAACCTTTTCCACTTCAAGGCCCGCGTATTTATCACTAGAGAGCATGAAGGCCCACAGGAAAACAAAACATTTTGCTTAAAATAGTATAAAAATTGGTAAAAATAAAAAAAAAAAATTGTCCTAAACAATAGCATACAGATTATATTGTCAATTTCAGTCCAATCATAGAAACCAAACTCTGTAATGATCTTAAAGAAATAAAAATAGAAAAAGGAAATGTAATTTGTATTTAGTGCTTGTATTTAAAAGCTGGCTCTGTATTTTAATGCACAATATAGAGTCAGAGTCAGAGATTTTCAGAGTATAATAAAATGGAAAAAATTGAAATTTGTGTGTAGTTCACTTTACATAATATAATAATTATAAATTACAATTATTTATAAATTAGGCTAGCGTAAGCTTGTTTTATTCCAGAATTCAAGCAGAATGGTGGCAAATTAAGTGTAAAGTTTCCATAAGTCAGTCACCAGTTGCATGTTTGCCATTTACAGTTTAAAAACATTTTATATTTATTTCTTATTATTAAGATTGTTTTTTTTCAGCCATCATCACCAGTCCACTATGGACCACTGTCTTCCCTTCAGCATAGGCCTGAGGACCACCAAAGGGTGCTTTGCAGCCCATTTGTGGTCCCCAGCTCAGTGGTTGAGTAACCTTGGACTAGACTAAATTTGTGTATAGTCTATAGAGGAAATACAGAGATCCTAGAGAGAGAACTATCACTGACCAACATATCCTTCTTCTCTGCAATGAAATTTAAATCAGGCACCAGATTAGCAGATACTCTTTTGTACTTCAGGAAGACTACCAGTTAACTTGGTTGGCAAACTCGCAAGTTTACCACCTGGAAAGCTAATGATAAACAAAACTGGCAAGTTTACCATCTGGAAGCTAATGATGAACAAAACATAGATTTTTAGACAATTTCCCTGTAATTAACATCTAGAGTTCAACATACCAGCAAGTACAAACTAGCTTTCTGGAACTGGTGCGTGATTGTCTTTCAGTTCATCTACATGTTAACTACAAGGTCATGGTCACTTTTAATATTTATATATTTGAAAAGAAAAGTAGTACAATCTTGTCAACTCACCATTGAGCCTCATTCACCAACATGTTCCCAAGTTTTTTTCTTAAATTTGTTTTTGAGAAAGATCCTAAGAAAAAGTCTACATCAGATTCATGACGTGTTCTTAAACCGCAGAACTGAGCATAGACTCTGTTCTTACCTAAGAACAAATCCCAAATAAGAAAACATTGGTGAATGTCAGAATGTTCATAAAAACTGTGTAGGTTTTAAGAAAACATTTCTTCTTAAGTTAGTGAATGAGGCCCATTTTCGGTGGATAATATTTCACTGTAATTCAGAATTTCCTTAACTATTCTTTAGAAAAGGAATGGAGATGGTAGCAGTTAACTCAAGGATCTGTAATTCCTTACAGCATCATCATGCTTTTTGTGTTAATCATAGTGCTAAGCAAAAGTCAAACTGTTTATCTGGGCAGTAACTGTTTTTTTGCTTGTAAAAGTAAACAATACAACAATACAACAGACAATAGAATACAAACAAACATTAATGTTGAAAAAAGTAACACAAATTTCTTGTTTTCAAAACATTTATTTGATACCTTGTAGGCTAGTTAGAAGAACACAGGTTTGATTCCAGACATCACCTCGATGGCTCCAGCTATTACATGTATTTGATTTAATTTAATGAAGCTTTGATTAGCTGAACATGGTATTGGATGATAACTACAAATAATACTGGGCTGCCATGAAAAGAGGATTGGAAATGGTCTAACGAACACGCTGCCATACATAGCATCAACACTTATTTGTATTTATTTATTTATTTATTTATTTATTTGTGTTTATTTTTTGCAAATAAATGCTTACTGCCCAATTAAACAGTTTTTTAAATAAAAATTTCTCAAGTGCCTAAAGCTTTTGCACAGCACTGTACATAATGAATTTGCACTGTAAAATAAAATAAAAACAAACAGAAGAAGGAACATTAAAGACAGATCAAAAAGATTCATGCTACATGTGTTCCATGGTAAGAATGACTTTCATGGTAAAACTGCCGCAGAGTGATTGTGCTTAGTGGCCTCTGTTTTTGCCTTACACTTGTATTTGGTCAGAGGGGAGCTCATTTTACATCTAATACTTATAAGCCCAGGTTTTCAGAGTGCACTCTGACTCATCCTACACTCACACACTTTCCTTTCCCCTAATCCATTATAAAGTGCGGGAATTCAGCAAACACAGGAAAACAAATACCTCTAGACCCATGTGCTGAAAGAGGAGCCAACTCTGACACACTGAGAGAGCCCTCAGCTCACGGCGAGTGTGTCTGAGGCTTTTCTTGTACAATACCTACAATAGAGGCTGAAGGAGGCCGAGGCTCTTCACATGGGCTTTTGGGGTGAAGAGTGGCAAGGAGAGTTTAATCCTAGCTTTCAGAGCTCACACACAATGCTAGTCATGACATGGGTGCACAATTAGCCACTCTGGTTCAAGTTAGAAGACCAGATCCAATGTGCCAAGGGTGGTGCCCCAGGCTCCTTATGAGACAGAGGGAATTCTGTGCATGTGTGTGTATGTGGTATAATGGTATCCCAGGCTGCAGCGTCCCCAGATATACAATTTACTCCAACCATGAAGCCAACGTGGGTGATTCATTGAGTCACTGAGTGCAGCCTATGGTCTACGTGTGTGGCCAAGCCAAAGCCGACATCGCAGTGTCGCCTTCGGGTGTACAGCCTGCTGTGTCTCTATGCGTGTGTGCATGTGTCTGGGAGAGATGAGGTGAGCCTTGTGTGTGGCAGTCACAGCATATGAGCTGACAGCATCTACCTCTCTTTAGCACACTCCTAGAGCTCTCTCAATCATCTTATCCCTGTACTGAACTCACCCGATGAATTCTGCTCCCCTCTTTTATCCACTTTTCTTTTTCAATGACGATTTTGGGTTTTCTGTTTCTCTACAAACTATTTCTCTTTGTCTCTGAACTTCTTATCCGCATTTTCACCTTTTCCCCCTGCTTTTTCTCTCATCCTCAGCCATAGCCTCTCCCTTTTCCCTCACTTTTATCCTGTGCTCCTTGCCAACTCCTCTCTCTCTATGAAAGAGGGATGGGCGTGGCCAGAGGAAGGAGCAAGCCGTTAAGTTAACGAGTTGGCATATGTTCATTCTGAGAAAGAAGAGGTATGATTCATGCAGGCTGGCTTCTGCCTCTCTCTCTTTCACTGCACCTGCAGCTCCCTACAGAGAACAGCACCAAGCCAGCCTCTGTATTTCTCTCTTTCAGTCTCTACAGACCCGTACAAAGAAAGAAATATACCGAAAATATACTGACATACATTCTGTTCATCTTATTTACACATACACTGGCCCCAAAAAGTATGTGGACACTTTTAACTTTTTAACTATTGACAAATTTTAAGTTACTTCTTAAAAGGTTTAGCTTCCAAACATCGAACTGATGGTAGACGCTTTGTGTGGAGAACGTCTGGAGAAGAACATCTGGAGAAGAACTCCAACCAGACTGCATTAGTAATTAGTAGAGGGTAACGTCAAAGCCAAGGGCTTTTTCTTACAGTGGTGCCAGTGAGTTTGTGCTCATTGATGGGATCATGAACTCAATGGCTTTTCGGATGCAAACCTACAGAAGTCTTAACAGAATCTGCTCAAGAGATAACGTTCTGAAACATCATCTGCCTTTTGTAAAAATACTTTACAAAAAGATGGACTGTTTAAAAAAATACTACTTGATTTGACATTTTGTTTCCTAACACAATAATCCAAATGCACTTTTAAATATGGCACAAATACACTGTAACAACACATATCATTTTAATATGAGGGGAATCCTCCTAACGCAGGCTGGCGATACTGTAAGGTGATTCAGCATTAGCCATTTATGAAGACTTGTCAATTACTGATCTTAAAACTTACTACTATGGCACTAATATGTATATCATGTAGTTGTGAAAGTAAGGAATTGAAGTGTGGCCCACACATAGACCTATGAGCGGTCTAAAGGGTTTAAGGGGTTAAATCATTGTTGCTGCAAAGACTAACCTTGAAAACTGAGCTAATAAAAACTCTCAGTGTACTTAATTTGCCCAGTGCCCCTGAGTTGAGGACAGACCAATAAGTAGCCAAAAAAAAACTTTTCCTCATATCATGCAAATCTGTAACAATTACCAATTTTAGTAGAAATACAGTAAACGGTTGCAATGCCAGTGGGTTCCTTCTCCCCTTTCTCCTTCACTTTGTCCCTCCCCTATTCTTCCCTCCTTTCCTCCATCTCTCTGTCCCTCGCCTTCCTCCTCCCCTTCACCTCCCTCCTGCTCTCCCTTCCTCTCTTTGTCCCCTTCTCCTTCAGTGAGTTCATTCCCCCTGCCTCTTCTCATGCTCAAGTTTACAGTTTTCAGGAAAAAAAACAAAAGGGAGCAAATCCCCCTGTCGAGGGCTTCATCTCGCAACCTCTTCCACACAAACAACAGCTTTTGTACCATTACAGAGAGCAACAGGAAGCCTCACGCTTTCTGACCCTCTCCACAAAAAGGTAGAAACCCTGCAATTAAAGTTTTAATTAAAGACGCCAACGCCTCAGAGTGTGGAGAAGAGAGAGGTCTTTCAGAGGGACAGCAGGCAAGGTGAAAAGAGGTGAAAGGAGACTATTGCCAGGCCTTTTGTATAACACCGATCCCCAGAGCAAGCCTATGATTGCTTTCTCATTACTCTACACATTAAATTCAACTTGTTAATTAACTAGACTGGAAACCTCATCTGAGATGGATTCAAAGGCCATTTGATTGAATAGTTTTGGATTAAGGCACACTGTGGTTCACTCTTTCTGTGTTGCTACAACTCTGCAATGCTGCTAAACAAAGATATCTACTGAACCTTTCAGATATTCTACTTTAACAGTTGCTCTAATGGCTGAATTTTTCAATTAGTTGTTTGACTATAGAAGCACATATTCTTACCATTCTTACCAGCCTACTGAACAAAACTAAATCTGCAACACAAAATGTCTCAGAGCATATGAGAACTATGATTAATTGTTTTATAATTTTATATATTTGATTATTTCATTTATTTGATTATAATTTTTATTTTGGTCAATAGTTCCTCAGCAAAACCTAGCATATTTGGGTAAATTTGCATAGCACATCCACCACACATTGTCAGATTTAGTGTAACATTTAGTATGTTGTTGTTGTATTAGCAGAGGTATTCACAAATAGAGCATGACAAATATCTTTCTATATTTCAACTGCTCTGTGTTTTTTGTAAGCCAGACCATCTGCAAGAGACTTACGACTCCCCACCACAGCGCATCAGCGTAGCTTGAGAAGCCTGTCTTCCCCTCTTCGTCCACGGCATCCTTCTCCGCAAGATACACAAAGTATGAGGAGAAGATCAAACCCAGGAATCCAATATACAGCGTCGTTATCAGCTCCTGGTACAGAGAGGAAGCACAGTTACAGTATTGCTAAAATTTCTGAAATAATTCAGATTCCTGATGCTTGGGGTATCTTTTAATTAATCTGATGCAAAAAAAAATGTGCTGGTTAATTAAAGTTCATGGGTCAGATACTGTAGATTGGGACATTTAATATCAGAAAGCGTAACTGTATTACATACCACAATCACAATGTAGCCGAAATGCAAGATACACTGATACAAGTTAAACATCAAAAAGTTACAAGAACCCATGAACAGTACAAGTACAGGACATAGTAATAATACAGAGAATCTAGTGCATGCAGCCTATGAGCCTTAATTAGTCCACACCCTTTAAGGCCTTCAAAAGTCATATGTCAATAGTAGGAGAGTAGAGAGAAATGTAGATCCATTCCACTTGTGTGTGTGTGTGAGAGAGAGAGTGTACATGTGTGTAGAATCCTCAGAAGCTTCTGAGCAAGAATATAATGACCCTGATCACTGGAACGGGATCATTAAGCCTAGTAAGACCCTGATTACTTCAGCATGGACTCATGAATTCCTTATATGGTCACTGCAGATTCAAGGCTGAAGATGAGCATGATTGAACACTAGCATCACACTGGCGCACTGGGATATCACCTAGTAAACCAAGAACAAACCAATTTGATTTTTGGCCATTTGACAATTCAGACAATGTGTGGTTTCACAAAAGATACATGTGTGTATGTGTGTGTGTGTGTGTGTGTGTGTGTATGTGTATTTAGGGCTAGGTTGCACCAGAGGGTGCTCTTATCCTACTAACAACTGAAAACTTTTACAATATTTTTCAATGCTTTATTAACATTTTACAAGTAAAACTATGCTAAGTATGCTTGATATTGCAAATAAACATAAACACAGTAAAAATTCACAAAAATTTCAAAAAAGTAGTTGAAGTCTTGAAAGTTTGATATCTTTGAAAGCTTTTTCACTCAAAAGGTTTGGTTCCAGTTGTCTCCAGGACATCCCCAGCCATCACATGGATTTATTAAATTCCAGGACAACTGATTTAATGAAGTAGTGATTAGCCAAACCAGGCATTGGATGATACCTATGAATAATACCAGGTCTGCTACAAGGCAAGGTTTGGAAAAGAACAAATAAACACTTACTAACACTCTGGACAAATAAATACTTACTTTTTTTTATTATTTAATTTTCTCAGGTTCCTAAATCTTCTGCATAGTATTGTTTGTCAGTGCTTAAAACATTAGCTTTAGGTAAGCCTATAGTAATTCATTCTTAAAATAAGGTCTAAAAATAAAAAAAAGTGTTAAAAGTCTTAACAGTTACCTGTCAGAGTTACACAATCATAATAGTTCTGAAATCAATTACACTGTTATCGTTGATCTGGCTGCTCTAAGAGTGTTGTAGTCTTAAGTATTGCCCTCAGTGGTCCAACACATTTTCACATGAACAATAGGCCTCATTTCAACTTTTATTTTAATTAATTTAACATTAGCACAATCATGGTGCATCCTTAATGTATATAAGCCTACAAGCTCTTGATAATATTTTACGGATTTTGTCCTTTCATTGATATTTATTTATGATATATGATTTTGAGTGGCTATGGTGCTGAAGAGCTTGGTGGCTAGCTCAGAGAAGCTGGTCACAACTCACTGGGCAAAGGTGGCTGAACAATTTACTTAAGCTGGTGGGAAAGGCTGAGCTGGCAGAGCAGCTCAAAGCAAGACTGCTGGCCTGTAGATGATTTACACAGCATACAGCTCATTATTGTTCAAAGGAGAATATTCTGAATGAAATATCCCCAGACTCTATTAAAGTAGTGACTTAATGTATTAAATAACCAATGCACTTAAGGAAATGTGAACACTATGAGTGCACTGAGAGTTTGTGCATATAAAGAATATACAGAATTCTGACCTGACGATGAATAAAGACTACAGAACCCAGAAGTCTCCATGTGCCTCCCTGCCGATCCACATGGAGCATGCGCAGGATCTGAAGGAAGCGGATTCCTCTGAAAGCAAAAGAAAGTGGTGTCAAAAAAAACACTGCTACATTCTGTACAATTACCAGTGAACAGTTTATCACAAAACATTACATAATAAATACAAACTAAAATGATCATATGTGGAACCTAAACATATCTTTTGTTCAAATACATATTTGTTTTATGTAATAATCAACTTGCTACACTGATACCTGATGGCAGAGGTGGCGAAAACTTGCCCATTTGAACCGACACTCAGTACTACGACTGATGCGACCACCACTATCAAATCTGCTCAACAGAAGAAGTCACACAGGAGTTTTCTGTTAGACATATTCTGTTTACAGTAGGCCTGTTACAGTTATTAAATAATTGCCTGATCACAATTTTTTGAGCTGATTGCAATTATTCTAGCTGAATGCAATTGCTTTCCACAGTTCATTTTCCACAATCATGTGCTCACACTACAACATACAAAATGTGAAATGGGTGATGTATGTAAATGAGTTTTTATCAGTTGGGTTGAGTCAGATTTATGTGAATAAAAAAGCAGGAAACATTTGCTCAGTTACATCATGGGTCTTCTAAAGTTCTAACATCTGACTGGTGCTATAACATCCAGAGGGCAGCAGTGAGTAGTGTTTGTTTATTTGCATTTGAGCTGTATCTGTCTTAAGTTGGGAGCTAGTAAACATCAACAGCTAGGAAGCAAGCCAGCTAGTCAGCCAATCTGGCCACTTTAGACTTTAATATTTTTATGAAATGAACAAAGAGACCATGGAATTTTTAACCGCAGTTATTTATACAGCAGCGAATCGTCAGCTATCATTTCACCACTATGACAGGCCTAGTGCACAGTTATTGTTTTTAAACAGAGCAATAACTACAACAACATTATTTTTATTACTGTGATTGTCTCATTAGAATATCAGAAGGGTAAACTTAAGCAATCATATTTATATTATAATATTTAAGAAATATGGTTTACTGAGTAAGAAGTGTTTTTTCCTGACTATATTGTGTAGATATGTACCTATGATAGAGATGGGTTTTCTGATGAAGCGCAGTCTGCCCTTGATGCCCACATATTTGCTCCTGCAGCCTGCTGACCACAGACGCACCACGTACTCCGTACCAAAAAACACCACCAACACGATCTCCTAAAGACAGAGGAACATGACCATTGAGTGTGAGAGAGTAAACAACAGGACTGAAGGATGAGTGAATGTAAGGCAGGTTAGAGAGCTAGACTCTATCTAGGATGAGCACAGATCCCATGAGGAGGGAATTCAGCCTGACCTCTCTAAGACAGAAGACACTTATCTAGTCTTTTGCTCTGACCTCTGATTCATAATGAATTGACCCTGATTGCCACTGTGACCTCCTGAGGTGATATAAGCAGCAAACTAACGTGGGTGGCCAGAGAACAGCTTGCTTACACAGATCGGTGATACAGACAAAGCTGTAATTCTACGCTGCCTGTCAGCTGTAGTGTCATAACACACACATACACCATATCAGGTGTTCTGAGCAAACACACCAAGCAGGCCCCACATATTAGATCTGTAGAAACACCAGTTTCATTATCCAAACCAGGGATTAGGTCACTACATTAGATTAATTCTGTTAAACGGCATACCCAGATGTTCTGTGGCATGAATATCATTTACAGTAAAAAGATTAACCAGTTTAATTATGCTTATGTATAATAAATCACCACATGAGCCATGAGTATGTTCAACAGCATGCCAGTTAGGCAGGGAAACACTGGTACAGTGTTCTAAAAAATAGAAAGAAAAAGTGAAAAATAAGATGAAAAAATGTCTGGCACTCAGTTTTTTTATGGTATGTGTTTTTTAAAGAAATCACAGAAAGAAATCTTTATTTTTAAAAGTAAAATATTTATTTTTGTATTTATAGTTATGGTTGTATTTGAAACAATATTTAAATAATATTAGAACTATTCTGGGTCATATTTTACCTGAGAATTACTCTAAAACTGGCCTTTGGAATATTCCTTTAAGACTAGGATTAGAGTCATGCAGTTACACTAACACTCAGGGCCTAGTAAGTATGTGCAATGTGCGTGTGTACGAGTGTGCACAAGACATACTATTCATGACTGTCATTCACACAGTGGGCAAGAGTAGCCCATTAGCCAGTCTTACTTTGGGCTACCAAGTGTTTGTTAAGTGTCATTCATGTAATTTCTGTTCATAGAGGTGTTGTTTTACCTTTTACAAAAGACAAAGCAACACATTATTATTATTCAAGAGGAAAAAGTACAGATAGACTGTTCTTAAATGAAAGTATGGGTAGTATCAAAATTTTACACAAGTAAAGGTGAACGTATGGAGCCAAAGATGTACTTGGGTGGAAGTTAAAAAGCTTTTCTATGTTTAAACATGCAAGTATATAAAAGTTAAAAAGTAAAAGCTTTAACAGAAACATTATAAAATTAACACTGCACACAAGCTGATCACACTCTGTGTAACCCGGGCTAGCAAATCTTTTCAACAAAAAGGGTGTGTGTCACAGTGACTAATGAGTCATACTGGTTCATTTACAAAGACTAATTAGCCAGTTACGGGTAGTTTTATTTTACACTGATTCAAACTTAAAATGTTCAGGAGCTTGCAAAAATAAAAAAAGGGAGATAAAAAATGACTTTTGAGATGTGCTAAATGAAATTTGTATTTAGTAAAAGCACAGTTATTCAGTTGCTGTAATACTTCAGTAAAGTACAAATCAAATCAAAATAATAGTGTAGTATAATAACAAAATACAATCACTTAAGTATTTTCTACTGCTGTTGTTATTATTGACCTTGTTAAGATTCTTTCTAATATCTGTCACAGTTGAATATTATAAATATATGAATAATACTATCCCAAGCAGTGTAATCAAACAAGGGCTCCACCCACCAGTTTCTGTGCATTTAAATGTAAAATTCATTGTGGCAGAGAACTGATAAAAACAAAATCACAAGCATTTTTAGGACAGAAAGGCAAGACATCAACATTCAGGTTCTGAGTCTGCCTACCCTACTAAGATGTACTATCTCCATCAAGTGGATGTCTACGGTACTGCACTACACCATAAGTCAATAAGCCAATTAAGCAGGCTTTCATCCTTGTTTCAATTCATTGTAATAGGAAGCATGTGTCTGTGTTTGAGGTTTCATATTGAAATACATACAACACATAGTGAATGAAACTTACCATCCAGAATAGTGTTCCAGTGGCAAAGTCTGCGTACTGCTCGATGGTGGAAAGCACACTGAAGATAAGACATACTAGAACCATGAGGAACCTGAGAACAGGAAAAAACACAAGTGATTCTCTTTCTTTCTGAGCTAAAGTAATCAATTACTGTGCTCTAATCTGTCTATCAAGCTCCGAACAGCCATCCAAGTCCTGCGAATGGAGAACCATCAGATCCCAAAAACAGCAATGAGATGGGTACCCCCTGGCGCCAAATGTTAGCGAGGACTCCCCCAGAACATGTGGAGACAAACATTCGTCGAAGACACTAAACACCACATGGGATGATGCCAAAACCCTCACCAGAGACCAGAAACATTGGAGAAACCTTTTTATCCGATATGCCACATAGCATGGGACATCTAATCTGTCTATCAACTACAGCATAGAGGGACAGCTACTGAGAATTTGGTTCCTAATTTCTTGTGTCGTGCTAAAAGAATATTTGAGCTTGTAATTTCTCATCATTTTTGACCTAATGCTTCATCATCATCATCTTCGTCATCATCATCGTCATCATCATCATCATCATCATCTTTACAGAACCCCAAAAATAAATACATTAAAAAATAATAAAACAATCTAATGGTGAGTACTGTGATACTGTGTGAATCAGTTCAGCAATAAAACCTCTTTTATTGAACACAGTTTTCGGGCTGCTTAAAAATTTTAGTTAACTGAATTTTAAGTTAACTGAAAAACAGTGTGTGTTTTATGCCCTATAAACATATAATTTGATGTTCCTGAAGTTCATGTACTAAACATTGTAAGGCAGCCAGGATGGTAGCTTTTTTTTAAGTTAAAATCCCAAAAATATTTTTCAGTGCAGCTCATGTGCAAACACACTACCGAAGGAGCACAAACAACTAGATTTTTGTAACCACCTTTGGTAGACATGCACAGAGTTATAAACAATATGATATTGCTGCTGTCAAAAGAAAACCTTGTATCTCCAAAATGGTAACTTTACAGCAGAAGGAAAAACCATACTTTACTTTTAATGTAAGTCAATGGACTTTTTTTCCAAGTCATTTTAGGCCGTTTGTTTTGATCCATTCATCGTGAAATTGACACACAATGTAAAGAGCAACATTTTTATGTCAAAAACTGAAAAATGACAAAAATGGTTTCTTCCGACAACACCGATATATAAAATTTATATGACATGTATGAAGCTCAGTATACACATATATTAATGTCTTGTTGCGCGTCATCTCTTATACTTAAGCTTGCATAGCCTCAATATCCACTGAAACAGCAAAGCGACATCAAGGATTTCCCCTCCAGATGGGAGAGAGTGTTACCATGTCAGGGATTATTCACACACGCACACCCATACACACACACACACGTTTACGAGCATGTTGAGGAAAACATTCACCACTCTTTTGGTACACACTGCAGAAAGGATGGAGAAGGGGAGATAAAGCACTGACGTCACTTACAGATGTGAGGTGTGCTCTTCAGGTTCTTTATGTTCTTTTAATGAAAATTCTCACACTTCAGTACTGAGCCAGATGGTGATCTGCTGACATGACGATCTATTATATGGACCTGCTTAAATGCACAGGTCAGTCAAGGACACAGCTTTAAACCAAAGTCTGAAGCATCAGGCGCTATTTCTGTGATGTGGAGAGCAAGCAAGGAATCTTGTTATTGAGACCTCACAAATGTGGACATATTTCGTGGATGGTTTAAAGACAAATTACACATTTAATATGTAATATGAGATTTTGTAATAATCTCCCCCAAACATCCAAATTCCAAGTATTTACATGTTTATATCTGAATTCTGTTCAGCAAGTGATTTGCAGAAATTCTGTCACACTGGGCACATCATGGCATGTACAGTATCCAGCCACTGCAAGTCCTTAAAATAATGTAGGTTAACTAGTTTGGGAATTATATTGGGAACTAATATTAAAAGAAGAACACTATAGTTATCCTAAACATCAACAGTGTTTTTTACTTTTCTCAGTCTAGCTGAAGTAATGTTCATCTGATTTAGTGAATGCTTCCTAAATCAGTAAACAGCATATCTCAAATTAGCAGCACACCTAAAAAAAAGATGGTTATACAAGGGTTTTTTAGTAAAGACAGTGGTTCTGTACAGAACCACAGACACTCAAACAACAATTTGCATGCTTAAATGATTATTTGCATGGTGAAATTGTTCTTCAGACTGATGGAGATTGTGTTATATATTGTTCTATACAGAACCTTTTTTAAAAGAGATCTATATAGCACCAAAAAGGATTCTGCTATTCATACAAGTTTAACATCATAATAATAAAAGAACCATTTTTGTTACTGAATGAAGCTCACTAAAAATGCAAGATCCTGCTGGTGTGAGTTTCAGTCAGTTTTCTTTCCTTCATTGAAGCACACAAAAGCTATTTAAGTGCTAGTAGTACCCCCTTACGGAGAATCTTTATCCTGCTACAAGTGAATGAGTCATAAATCAATGAATTCTTTACAACCTTTTTTTAGACTCACAAATGACAAATGAATAAAAAATAACTAAAAAAGAATAAATTCAGCAAAAAAAGGAAAAAAAATAGAATGCGGGAAAAAATAAAGATTTCATAGAAACAAAGAAGCAGCCAAAAGCAGTTGGTCTGTTAGGTACTGTATTATTCTAAACCCTATATTAAACATGCTTGATCTATAAGGAAGCTGTATATTTATTTATTAGGGAACTTAACATGGACAACTGTCATTGTTTTTAGTGACAGATTTAAAAAAAGGGTCTACAGAAAAGAAAACAACATGCTGTGTCACTTTAATCTGAAATTCATTATTATAGTATATATATAGTATACATTATTTGCTCTTTACATGTTTTTTTGCAAATGCATGCCCAGGTTTTGTTCAAAGCCCTGTTGTATGTACCACTTATATGGGCTTTTTACATTAAATGCTGAAACATTATCTAGCGATATCTGTTCATGGAAAAAGAGACAGAAACGATGCTACATTTAATATGATGAATAATCCTTATTAATCCCTCTTCAAAATGACCAGATGTGTTGAGCTATTGCAACATCAACAGCTGTATTTCCAAAATGGAGAGGATGATATATGCACCAACGCGCTATCACTCTGCTCCCATATTTTCTCAAATTTGGATTAGCCCTCGTCTAGCCTAGTCAAAATATAGGCCACCAAAAAATGTTTCATAAGACGGATATCTCCTGTTTTTCTGGATGAACATCCTAAGGGAAATATCGTGTTACTGTAACTTGTTTTAATGCTTTCAGTGAGCAACATCTGGATAAAATACGAAAAGTGTCCTGGAGGCATACAAACTAAATTAAAATAAGCTTTTAATCTTGTTTTCATGTGAAAATCAGGGAAAGCAGGGTTAGAGATTTTAGATCATATTTGGGTCATTTATGGCCCAGGACTAAGAATGAAAAACAAGACAAACCTCAGTATAAGTTAAAAATGACAAATAGGAAACGGAGGCCTAAGTTCTCCAGGCTTCATCACGAAATATGCAAGCAGTAACAAAAAGGAAAAACAATTATTTTCCTGCACACAAAACAGAGAGCATAAGTGAGTAACAAGCTCAAGCCCTGTTTGGTTGCCCTCGTGCCCCTGAATGACTGGAAGACTCTGACTGACAGAATTATTACTCTTCCACAATTTGCTCTGGTGACTTTGTCTGTATTCATATCAGAGAGCCACAGGTTCTCAGGACCCCTGTGGACAAATACTGTGGATTTTCAAAACAAACCCAACGATGTGCCCCGCCAAAAACAATAGCATTCACCTCAAAACCATTTTTAATCAACCTCCCGTTGTGTGGAAATACACTACACATAAGGCCCTTCTATGAAGCATCCCAGGAGGTGTGGCTAGCTTGGGTCAAATGAGTCATCTCAGTGAGTGAGTCTAGTTTGGAAGGACAAATCGTAGAGATCTGATTAAAATAAAACAGCTGGTGTTTTATCCAGCATTATCAGCATCAGTCACCGTGAGCTGCCCTAGGACCACGTTGACAACAACAGCACTACCACTCATGCTGCATTTGTCTGAAAGGAGAATCATGAAAGAAAAGAACTTTATTTATCCATTGTCAGGCTACTGATGACTTGTCACTCTTTTCCAAGGCCCCCAAGCTGGGGTCGGCCACTGGGGAGATAAGTGTGTTACACTGCAATAACACCGGAGCTCAAGGGCACAAATGCAGTGGTGGGTAGAAGGACACTTTAACAAAGAAGCCTCCAGGGCTAGGTCAGCATGCATGGTCCCCACTCTGGAGTCAAACTTGGCCTTCTTCAGTTCCACCATGTTTCATTTCCTGGCATAAAGCCTTAACAAGCTGATCCCTTGCTGCCCTAGCTATATTCAAAGCCAAACTAACTGCACTAACCGCACTAAATAGTCCATTTGGCTCCAAAGCAAGGTTTTTTAATAATGAACTGTGATGCTCTCCTCTGCCTAAAAACACTTTAAAGCCCACAGCAAACTGTCTAATAAACAAGGTCTTACAAGTTCATTGCATGTCACGCTGTACGAGATGAAGCCAGAAAATATTCTGCAAATTTTGTAGCAGACTGTGTGAAATAATTTATGTTCATGTGCTGCACACCTGATCATATATGAGACATATTCTCTGACAATAAGCCTATGAAGAAAGAAAATGATGACATTCTGCCTGGATCTTCCATCATTACTCCTAATGGTGGTGGATTTTTTGGCGTGCATTACAGTAGCGCTCAAGTTCCAAGACTTTGGTCTGACACTGTCAGAACTTTGTTATCTTTAATCACAAAGGCCCTAAACTGAATGTTACTGAGCTCACCACATTAGGCAGTCTAGGATTTTAACTCACAACCAAAGAATTCTTTCATGATTTGCTATTTTCTTATCTGTAACAACACTGTCGTCTTAAAAATCTAAGAACATATAGCTGACTTTACACCATGCAGGCCTTAATCTTGGAATTGAATGTTATCTGTGACAATGTAACTAGTTTGAGAGCCTAGAAGAAAGCTCCTTCAACTCTAGGCCAGAAAACTGCTTAGTAGCCCCAATTATCCAAATCTTCCCTTAATGTTGTAATTAAACTTAACTGCCTTGCTGAGTACACATGAAGACTGGCCACCATATTAACAATCAATAGTATTTTCACAGATATTTGCCAAAAGAATTTGTGATATTTCAACAGATATTTTCATAATAATTTGAAAAGGTTAAAGTTTTAAAAAAGGTGTTTTACTTGCTTTTCCACATACATAGATGATATGAGATCACTCACACCTGAAGAGGCTGTTTAAGGTTGTCCTTTACTACAGACTGCATAGCCACAAACTATTTGCCCCCACTTAATCATCTCTGTTCATCTAGGAAATGCTGGTAATGGCCATCTATTTGAGTTACACTCTCTGCAGCTTAGCTGTCTTACAGCAATATTACTCATTAGATTGAGCCAAGAGAGGTCTTATGTAATGCTAGAACATTAATATGGTACATAAATATTTGGTCTAGTGGCAGTGAAAAAAAACACTTGATTCATTGACCTACATGGAGCAAAACTGAAAACTCAGGCAGAATTATAACCAAACTCTGTGCAAACTTTCTATTATAAACTATAAGCACAAGGTGACCCAGCTATGGGTGTTTTTTTTCCATCCCTCGTTCCATGCAAGTTAAAGTGAGATTACTCGTTGATGGAGATCCAATCCATGATGCACAAATGTAAAGAGGAAAACATGAAGACAATCCTTACTCCAACAACTGTACTTAAAGATTTCTGAGGGAGTTCTTTAAGGTCAGTCAAGGTGACTATCCATCCAACTGTGTACATTTGAGATCTGAACCACAAACACATACCTAACATAGATCTGTGAAAATCTATTTATGTTGACCTTAATCATCGTATATTGGTCTGTGCATTTTAACCTCTGAAGATGTCCTTTTTGTACGGACAAAGTAAAGTTTTTTTTTTTTTCATTTTTAAGTACATTAAGTTACCTTTCATTTAAATGGTACAACTATTTATACATGGGGCACCGTATATGAAGTAAACAGTAATAAACCCAAACTGTCCTAAACATATCCTACATAAGAATTTTTAAGTAATCTGATCAATTTATTACCTGAACGACAAGAAACAGGTTGATCCCCTTGGCAAATAGTTAATAGGCTGACAGCCCCCTCCACTAATATACAGGGCTAGGCTTTAAATTTAAGAATTTACTGATGGATTCACTGTAAAACATACAAAGTAAAGAATATAGCACCTGAATGTTTTACAAACTTCAAATGTCTATGTTTAAAGGAGAGCTGCTATAATTCAGAGAGGAACATTTAAGAAGACCTTTTAGGAACTAAAAAATACATGTCTGTAATTTATTCATTTTTATTTCACAGAAACATTATGCAGCTCAGTGTGCAAGTCTTCTAGTAAGAGTCTAATAACATTGTTACAGACTACACTGGATAGTGCTCACAGGACACCTATGGATAAATCAACAAGCAGCAAACTAACAAAAACAACAGCAAAGTGGAAATCTACAGTTACCCTTGGGGCCTTCCATAGCAGCAAGAATGCTACAAATGGAGAAGAGTTGGAACTATTGACTGTATATATGATACCAATGATAGATACTGTCATTGTCTGAAACAGGCAGGCACTCTTTTTTGCTGCTTTTTAAATAAAACAAATTGCTTTAGAGTCAAATTTGAGCACATAATACAAATGTGATTAATTGCAATTAACTACATTAAATAATGTGATTAATCATTATTGATTATTTTTAATCATTTGACAGCCCTAAATATACACCTCACAATCCACAGTTCTTTAAAACCTCTTATTAAAGTGTTGATGACATCAGAGAATTTCCATTGCATACCAAATTGCATCAAAATAGCATGATTAATCAACTATAATCAGGCTCAAATTATTTTGGACAAAACACAACACCCAAAGAAAAACACCACAATCTATCAGTCTAATTTAAAACTCTTCTAGATATTTCATACACCAGGTGCACGCACTGATGCTCTAAGCAGAGATTCTGACAGTTTCATGTCAGTGGCATTCAATGAGCTTGTTTTGAGACCTGCTATGGCTCTATGGGATGATGAAGAGGAACCCATGGAAGTGGATAAAAAAAGGATCACTAGTAACCCATGGAAGCGGAGAAAAAGAAAATCAGAAGGAGCCCACAGCAGTATAACTCAGACGTCTAGCTTCTTAGCTAACCTATCCTGCTACCTGTGATAGCAGTGATGGGAGTCATATGTGTCCCTGAGTACCACACCATCTAACTTTAAACTAACCATTTCAGAGATTAAACTCATTAAAATGTTAAACTAGCCTGATCTCAAATCAGAAACAACTGGAACCTTACAGACCTTCATTGACACTTTCACTATCAAAAGTTTGTTTGTCTGTTTTTGTTTGTCTAGTTCCTCTGTTTTTCTGTAGCATACAATATAATCATAGGCATAGGTTAGTATTTTTCACGACATGCGTGAATATGTCATCCATGCAAAGCAGTATGCAAGGCAGCACGTGGCAGCACTGTATGCAAGGCAGAGTGTGTTCAGAAGAAATGGGGATTGGATGTGTGTGCGGCCACATCTGTCTGTCTCAAGGAGCAAATCTCATATAAGAGGGCAAGAACAATGTTAAAGTATTTTGGATACAGGCCCAGTTGCAGACACTGTGTCCTTTTGTTACGTCAAGGAACCACATGGCCACTGCTAACTACAGGATTTCTGTCTGTTTGTGTCATGCTGAGCCTTCCAACTGTACTGTGGAATGACTGTTTTGGGACACCTGACAGAAAGAACAAAAAATGCAATTATTCTTTTAAATGAAGGGTCAGTTAGACGACTAAAGAACGAAAGAAAGAGAGATGTTTCTATGGTGAGAGAGCAGCAATAACCTGCTCTGTTGGTTCTGCCAAGGAGCATCTTCGCTCCTACCACACTATAGATATGTTGAGCTAAGGGAGAGGCCTGGGCCTGTGACACAAAAGAACCTATCCATGGGCCATCTAGATAAACAGACAAGTCATTAGGCTGTCCAAGTTGATGCGCTAAGGCTTTATGGATCCACTTCAAGCCTGGCAGCTGGACCGAGAGTGGAGAAAAAGGGCCTGGCATCGATAACCATCGGCAAGTAAGAGTTAGTTAAAGGAGCAGTGCAGAGCATCAATCACAGGGGTTTAATTTTGTAAAAGGCTGATATCAGGTTATCCTGAATGTGCTGCCGTGCTGGAGGTTCAGTTACAGAGACAGGGAAGGTTATCAGACTGCCATGTCAAACAAACACGCAAATGTACAGCATAGGACGGAGGGCACAAGGTCATTCAGTTTCCATAACTGAATAATTACATGACTGAGTACAGGAAGAACCTCTTTTACCATTCTACTATTATCATTCTGCAAAGCAAAGCTTTTTTAATTATACTACAGACCTAAAATAGATATATTTGATAACAGATTTGTCTTTTTTTCACACTGCTTCTAACCAAACAGAATTAGGCAGCTACAACTCATCATCCATCAGGCTAATTTTCTTAAACGAGTGGTTCTCAATACAGTCCTCAGGGTCCCAAAACAGTCCACATTTGCAATACACAGGGATAGAGGAAAAATCTGGACTGTCTTGGGGGCCTTGAGGACCACTGTCTTTGATTATTTAATCAGTAATATTCACAGGGAAGACATATTATGAAGACTGTAGTGATTAGCAAAATGATTAGCATAAATCAGATAATGATCTTAATCAGTGCCATGACCAGCAAACCTGAGACAATTAACCGAACGTGAAATGTTTTATTACAATAAAGATCGACAACATTTAACTTTCCCAGGCCTGATAGGAAACAAGCCCTGCATGTTTCATGCATGACCCAGCTGCCTAAACTGACTGCAGAATGCAGAGTCACCCAGGCTTGGAGACGGGGCTATCAAGATCACATTGACCCGCTTTTACGTAGTCTTAGACACACACAGATCCCTGTGGCCGAAGGAGACGCTTCTTTAGTTACTGAGAACTGATGCATATTCTTTACACCCTGCAGCATTAACTGTAATTACCTCATTGCTGGGATAACAGCCATGGGCACTTGATAAAAATGTGAAAAAATGCATAGTAGCAAAGTAAAACAAAATGAATGAGGATTTAAGTCCTGCTTTTGAAATATTGAATGAATTGACAGAGGCAGACAATGTAATGCCAACTATAAGTACATGTTTTCCACCCGTTTTAACTTCAAGGTTCTATTTATGTAGCTGAATGTAAATCACATGTTTCATAATGTAAGATTCTGGACATGATATTAGTTATTTACAGAATGGAAAAATCAGTTAAGATATGACTTTGCACAGGAAAAAGAGCCTATATGTATTGGATATGTGGAAAAAATAGGTTTGATTGCTTATCTATTCTGAATATTACAAATTTCATGTTTCAAGTTACAATCTAAACATGTGATTCATGTGAAACATCATTCTGACGCAATCAATCAGATTTCACCAGGAAAACCATAAACACTAATAGTGTCTTAGAAATCAGATATAGCCTATGCTACATTGTGAACCAATTCTACCATCTACATCAACAAAAATGTAAACAAAGGAAAAGGAACTGAACACATACTGAGCATTTATATATCTTCAATAATAGAGTAATGACAGGCAAATGTACTCACACTAGGAAGTGATAGAGGAAGCATTTCAGGCCTGCAGGTCTCTCTAGGAAGTTGTAGACATCGCCCTGCATGCTAGTCTTGGCGTGATAGGGGTTGTGTGTGAAGCGAGAGGGAGCGGGGCCGGGCAGCCCACGCACTGGCTCTCCGCTGACCGCGCCGCTGGACAGGGAGAGGGAGGAGCAGGAGCGCGGCTGGACGTACTCTCTGTGCACCGCTGCCTCTTTTGTGTGTCCGCCTGGAGGCCCGGGGACGCCTGATCCATTATTCACCACAGGCTCCAGTTCCACTGAAACAGGAGAGTAGTGCGAGCTGTCCACTGGTGGCTCCTCCACAGGTGCTGCTGCCTCCTCCAAGCTGCACTCGGAGCTTGGCCCAGTGAAAGTGTGCCCGTTTGGGCCACTGCTTTTCGGCCCGTTGCTGTCACAGCTGCTGGACCAGCCGAAGCGCCGGGACCGGCACAGGAGAGGGATGGGACGCCCCCGCATCTCTCCCATGGTGGGGACGCTTACGGGGCAGGGGGTTATTGTTTGAAATGTGATATGAGGGAGGCTGAGAAGTCACTGTAGGATGGAATGACCACAAACGTTCATAGGTGATCAGCACTTGACCTGTCGCTCAAGTCTCCACACCTGTAAAGGTATGAATAAAAAGCAAAACCAAATACTTCACATCAGCATTAAGTATGATGAAAAACTCTTAAAAATAAAGATGCCAGAAAGGGTTCTTTGGGTGGTATCATAAAATAATCACTGTTGGGTCCCTAACAAACCTTTCAATCTGTTTAAAGGAAAAACTCAATGATAACCAATAATTGAAAAGTTCTTTAGGAAAACAACTGTGGCTCTTCTATGGTATCACTCTCAAGACCATTTCTGTCACCTTTATTTTTAAGAGTGTCCGTGCACTTCACACTTAAAAGTCATCAAGGGCAAGCAGTGGCAATGACCCATTTCTTTCACCATGCACTTGCTACTGAAAACAATACTTAGACAATTAATGGCTGTTTAAGATTATATAAATGCACAGCCACTTGACAAACATGTATCAACTCCACAAGACGTTAATCATACGTAAGCTGTAGGCTCATAGATCAGTGTCTGCCTCTGTCTTAGGAAATATTAGGTACACATGATATCAGAATCATTGGTATCGGTAGATAGTTGCTTGAAAAATAATTATGGACATCAGGCAGATGTTTACATTGAAACAATATTTCAAAGCAATATATGATGGCATATAAATTGTAATCCTGAAAAGCAGAATGTTTAGGCGATGCTGCTATATAGCGAAAATGTCTGCATTCTATTCATTTTACTGCTTTTGTAATCCTTTAGAAATAAACATTATATTTCTCCATAATGCTAATCCAAATGTCGTCTCAATTTCTACAATTTTAATTGCTTATGTTTCGGCACTGGCTCACCGGTGAATCCCTGATAAGTATAATGATACAGACTAGATGAAGCCAAACATAGGTCAGCAGCCATACTAGACACGTGTCACTTAACAAGCTCTGTGCTCTGGATGTTAGTGCACATAAATAAGGAGCATGGGAAACACTCAGAATCTCTAGTGGGATTCTGCTCTATTAATACTGCATGAGGATAAATAGGGGATTACCAGACCAAACGTTACATGGAGATACAATATCTGAGCTGTCCATGTGATGCATCCAACATGGGAGATCCCTTCCAGGGCATTTGTAACAAGGTAATGCATAACAATTTAAACAAATCATTACTACAAGCAAAGTTGTTACAGTAAGTGATGCCATAAACAGAGATGTATCTTGTTTTAAACATCATTTATCACATTTACAAAGAAGTTGGTGTTTGTCAGCTGTGGCACCAGACAGAAGTAACTGCTGTATTTTTTCTGCCAGTAATCCAAAGTCCAGTTCTTATCTATTTATCAGACCACAGATGTCAATCTTGAAAGAGAGAGGGGGCAATTAAGCATCCTAACTTAAAAGGTCAGTTTTTCCCTTAAGGACAACCATTCATCTTGTGTGCATGAGAAGCAGTAGCTGAGTAAAGCAGGATGGAAACGGGAGCTTTGTCTCCACTCTAGCTCAGCTGTCATGCAGAACAGCAGATGTGTTGACAGACTCCATAACAGCTCTACTGTCCCCATCTGGATTGAGTTTCTTAGCTATCCAAACTCACCTAGACAACCGACGAGTGAACACTGTCTGTCAACCAGAGATAGGGAGTTGTGAGAGCTGAACTTGATGAGGTTCAAGAGACATACAGACGAAAAAAGTTCAGCTCACACTAGGGCTGCACAATATTGACATAAAATGTGATGTTGTCAGATTTCACAACGACAATATGAGAAGCAATAAACTAGTATTACAAAAATGTGTCTCTGGATGGATGTAATGCAAGTGCAGACTTTTTTCTGGGATGTGTAAACAGAAATCTAATTAACCTCTCTTTAAACCCCTCTGTAAACAAATAGTAAAATAAAAAATTACAAGAGCACCATTTACTATTCTGCAAAACAAAAAGCAATGAAATACTAACAACTACTTACATCAGAACTGCAAGCACATTTTTGTGTACTGAAGGGCTCAACAGCTTTTTCTATAAGGACTATAAAACCAAATAAATATGTATTTTTTATTGGCACATAAGAACAAATACATATTCTTGTTTATTTTTTTAGCTATTAAATATTGTGGCGTCACACGCCAGGTTGTAGTTAGTTTAAAAACCATAACGTTGTTATTGCTTTTGGTAGTTTAGTTAGGCCCAATGTTCTTGGTTTGTCCAGGACTCTTATTTTGAAGAACTGTGGGGGCGTAAGGTAGCAAACATCTGTAGCCCTGCTGGCTAACAGAAAACAGTAGAGCTTGAGCTATCCTGTGTTCTGCTTGTTTTCCTCTTTACTGCAGACTGTTATGAGTTGAAATTCCATTAAAGCTGAGTTTTGGGCCGACATTTTAAGGTCTCCGAGTGTGTGTTTTGTAGTTGGCCGTTTGGCCGAATGGTTAAGTCACTCGTCTCCCACATGTGACAGCAGGTTCAGTCCCAGGGCAGAAAAGCAGGCTTGTAACAGTTTGTGCCGTAATTTAATGACGTCTCTCTGGCGCGGTGTGTATGAAGAAATCAGATCTGTTCTGTCATCGCCGCTCTAACAATGTGTAAATCGTGATAACGATAAAAAATACAATTTATCGTGCAGCCCTACCTCACACTGGCTATGCATACATGGTAAGATTTCTGCCAATCCGACTGAATACATTCCGATTACAAATTACGACTGAGGTGTTTATGCACACTCTGCAACAATCTGATGGAAAATATCAGTTTACATACGCACCAGACACGCAAAAGTAATCAGATCCAAAATTACACGCATGCGTAGAGTACCACTTAGTGTAGACAGTACCCTGACAACGAGCATCACGTGAGTCCATTTAGAGCGAGTTTACTTGAGTCTTCAGTTGTTTTTAATTGCTCTAAAATTATGGCAGGCTCAGGAAAATGTACTTCACATGCACTGCTTAAAGAAGGGCGAGAGGAAGGCGTCATGTTCTAAGACCCTTAAGCTGGGCGCCCGTCCCGCCGCCGTCGTCGTTTAAAGCTCAAAGCATGAACTTCGTCTCCTCTACAGACCAGTCTCGCCTCCCGCCATGACGAACGTTATAAACTTTCGCAATAACGCGAACGAACATGCGCAGAACGTACTTACACTTTTAGATTGGAAATGTAATCAGATACAGAGTTTATATGGTTATTATTCTTCTATTTAACGGATTATTTACAAGATTACCCACCTCGTTCAATCGAATAGAAATTGTATTCTGAATGGCCTCGATCGGACTAGTCTATTCTGATCGAGGTGTTTACATGGACGTATTCTATTCCGATTTAGTTCATTAGTCGGATTATCAGGCTGCATGTACACTTGGCTACTGTGGTCACGTCACCCAGTCTCAGCTGTTCTCGATGAGTGCTCTGTGGATGCTCTGTCAAATGTCATGCGTTGATACAGTATGATAAATCAAATGTTTAATTTTATATCACAGCTGTGCAGCCCTGTGCCTAATCATATTATTGGGAAATATGGATTGCTCACTTATTAGAAACACAATATGTATCAACAAAATCACATTATATTGTCATTATGTAGTCTAATAGAGCTAACTTAACTGATTTGCCTCATTGTGCCACTTTATGAAATAAAAAGCCAAGATAGAACTACTTCGGGTTTTTTGACTTGGACCTGTAGGCCAGTGTTTGTTGTCGTGGGTCAGGAGTGTCCCTACACAGCGCTTTTTCCCACTCTGACACCCCTGACAAGCCTGACAAGGGCTTGATAATTAGTAGATGAACTGTATCAGATGACCTGGAGTAAAAAAAAAACACTGAAATCTCTGCAGGGCGACCAGTGACAAGGCTCCAGTATAACCTGTTCATGAGGATCACCAAACGGTTCTTGAAATCCCCTTCTTAACGCTGACCCCAGTCCCACAGAGCTCAAAAGTGGAAAATGTTTCATTTACAATTGATACGGGGCATAAAGACACAGCAATACAGTAGCAGACTGCACGATAAAAAGTAGAACAGAGCAGAAGTTGATTTGAAGCGTTTTTGAGGTTTGAATTAAAGTACAGTACTGCTGTGTTCATTTACACTAAAATTTGGCTGTGCATTGTGTCACTCGAAATATTTGTTTAGGTTACATAAAACCATTTAAACCGCTTATTACCACATTAAGTGATTTTCTAGGTTGAACTGACAAACTATTTTATGGTGTAATAAATACTGTATGTAGTACAGTGTAATTTAAGCTACCTTTTGACACACAAACGACTGAAACTCGCACATCACACGGCGGAATCTTTATCTATTAGCTATTCTCTTTGAGCTCTGTTCAGTAACGGTGCTGTGTGCTAACTGACCACTGCAGACTCCTGGGTTTTAAAGTCACAACACAGCCAGGGGAGCCTCATGTCATGTCCGGGTTTGCCCTGAGGCGGTTCGGCTGCTTTCAGTCTCTTCCAATCCATCATTTAATAAAAGGACGTGATTTACAGTCACTGACATGGTTAAGCTAACGACAGTCGAATAAGAGACGCAAATAAAAGGTGAAATATTGTTTTCTGTGGAGATAAACGTTTTCGTCCCGTCAGAAACGGCTGTGTGTAACAAAAAATGAAAACGTAAATGTTAAATATGACGTTTCACTGCATTTATTTTTTCTCCTCACCTCAAACTTTAATGCGAGGTTATAGGTTATTTAACTAAGAACTTCACAACACCGCAAGAGCTAACTTGGGCTATGAAATGATGAAATCAAGATTTTATTACAAAAAGGCATATTTACCGATGTAAACAGTCTGACGGTGGGTCCAAATGTCTTCGTCCCTGTCCCTGTCGTGCCTGTTTTTTAGCCCCATTGAGAGAAAAAACCTCACACCGTCCGTTGGTCAGGATGGACCGTTACAGTCCCTCAGAGTAACGGTCCACCTGATGTTAACGGAACGGGTTTTTTTTGCCACCCGTACTCGGACAAGCCCCGCCCTCCTGCTCTAGGATTGGCTTGTGGGCCTCGCCTTCTCCGTTATGATTGGCTAATAGTTCAGCAGCTGCAGTTGTAGTACTAAACACTAGCCAGTCACAACCCAGGGGGCGGGGCTTGTCGAAATACAGGTGGGAAAAGCTACAACTCCGGTCAAACATGTGGAGAGTTTTCTGCGGCCGCTTGATGCACGTCAGTGTGGGCGCGTTTGACAGCTCGACTGCGTTAAACATCCAGATTAGTTTAATTGTACTGACCTTTAAAAGTCCTCATGCAAAGCAGCGCCTGCGGTGCAGGATTCCGAGCATTCCGTGCCCGTGGTCTCTCGCTACAAGAGCAGATTTAAAGCCGATTATATGGTTGTTTAGGAGGATGTCAGTGAGGGATTCTGGTCAAACGTAACGCGCTGCATCCGCAGCAAAATATAGGGAAAGTATTTGTACTTTTGGAACATTGCAATGAAAAAAAAAATTCTGTCAGTCTTAGAACATGTTCTCCTTTCTGTTCGGCTATAGAGATCTGATAAATGACGATAAGAGTTGTAACATATATTATCGCATACGGATTTCTCTTATATCCAACCTATATTCGTGCCACCTTTTTGAAATCGACCATTTTCAAACATGGGACACAAATTTCAGCCATATGCCACCATTAACAAAGATATATGTGTAGCACATTTATTTAACAATATATAATAGAAAACATTCTTCATATATGCATGCCATATGTTGCTCATATATGCTAGCTTAATTATATAAGATTTTTATGTATCTTCTTTGTTTTTTCCACAAACGTTTTAAAGAAGTAGAATTAGTAAAATAGCTACGTAACTAAACACTAAGTACGTGCACAGTGTAAGCTATGCAAAAAAACTATAAAACATGAAATACATGAAAATTTTGTTCATCGACACATTTAAATAATGTAATATATAATAGATAACATAGTATAAATTATAACTATACCTTACGTTTGATCCGTATCTTATGCATTTCCAATATTTGATACTTACATATGTGTACACAACATATATATACAAATTTTGAATTATATGCCTGGCCCTTTATGATATATGTGCATATATGGCCATATATCAGCTTTCCATATGGGTTCAGGACTGTTTTGATATACTTAAGACTATGTTACAAAACCTAGACGTGCAAGACCTTCATCCCCCAACAGTTTCATTTTCAGTATGATTGTTTATTCTGTTTAAGTAGCCTGTATACACTGACAGTGTAAAAGTCACCAGACTATGTGATGTAGCTGTGTAGCGCTGCTCTCCTGATCTCTAAAGCATAAAGCTAATCTTAATTCGTCTGTTTTTTGCCTGATTCGACTTTAATCTAGAAGTCCTCGATGGACTCGACTGATCAATATTTCTCAAAGCACACTGTAGACTGCTACACTTCTTGGAGACATTGGTGAATAGTTCTAGGAAGTTGTCAGTATTTAGTCCCAGTATTTTGTTGCTCGTGCTCTTTAACCTTGTAGCCTCATCCGTACCACGAAGAAAGTCAATAATAATCTATTTCTATTCTTAATTGCATAAGCGGTTTAGAAAATGTGTGTGTGTGTGTGTGTGTGTGTGTGTGTGTGTGTGTTCTTAATTGCCGTGCCATTTTCAGGCAAATGCCAAGCTGAACTCTAAATCCCGCCTGGGCCACCGTAGCTCAGAGGAGCGCTACTGGCAGGCACAGAATCCTGATTTACAAGCCATGTGCACCATGACAGTTCCTGCACAGATGACTTGAAGATCAGCAGATTGGCGCTACGGTACCTCCAGCTCATCATGGCTGCCTCCACATTTTGCCCCGCGTTGTCGCCCTTACTTAGAATAAACTGTAAGCTTAACGGTGTTTACACACGTATTTCACTTAACAGAAGAGCTGCGTACTCCTTAGGACTGACAATAAGCAATGGCGCTGAGCGGCAGGGTGAGTTTCGCTATGTTGTCTGGTTTGTCCTCCAGTCTGCTGCAGCTTCTTGCGTTAGCTCAATGCTAATGTAGGCTGAAGTCTGTTCTGGTCCAGAGCCTGATGCTAGGCTAGGTAGCTAGTTGTCTAACTCCAGGTTTTTCACAACAGTTGGCTCAGCTTAAACTGTCTCAGTTTGATTTCTTGCGCGTCGGTTATTTGGCAGAGAATAAGCATTTTATTTTAAATGCAGACACTGTTTAAAAGCACCGTTGTCGGTTTCGGGGCTTTGTAGATTAAATAAATGCTCTAATGGGCTGCTCACTGCTTTAGCGTGACTAACGTTACTTTTTCATTTCTGTCACAGGGCTGGTGGACTTTTCTTTAACCATGGCTTTCTCACCTCTATCTTTATTTCCATTTCAGGTTTGCCAGAGAGAGGCAGTCAGGGGCAGAGGAGACAGAGAAGGGTATCTCAGTGATTATCATTTTTATCTTCAGCAGGTTACTGTTAGGGATTTTATTGTGTTATTAGCATGATCACACCTCATTTATTTACTTTCCAGTCAAAACGGCCTTTAAGAAAAAGTTATACGTTTTTACCGGATATATTTCTGAAGAGATTAGATGTAAGATAACCAGCTAATGTAAGGAAAGGGAAAGTCAGATCAAATGTAAATAAATGGGGGGATGAGAGAAGATCAGGCTCCACTCTTGCTGCACATCTGGAAAAAATCCACAGGTGTTTCTTTCAGTCCGTCCACCTTGAGAAGACATCCCTGCAGCTTTCTTTGAAAGTTTACAGAAAAGGATGACAGATAATAAAAGCAAAGGGTGGATACATTATACACTGGAAAATTTGATATTTTTAGTTGTGGAAGATTTTTGTTGTAATTTTCTGTAAATATGTTTTCTGCTTTTTTGCTGCTGAAAAATGCATAACTTATACATACCACATGGCCATTTTGACTGGAAATGAAGTAAATGAAGGGTGGTCTCTGACTTTTGCACAGCACAGCACAGCACAGCACAGTACTGTACTAGGAGGAAAAACTTTTCTCTTGCATCCAGGCCGTTGAACCACGGACAGAGCGAATGCCAGTGGACCAGGACTGGACCGCTGTATACCCCACTGCAGCGTCTTTCAAGCCAGATGCTGTCCCACTGCCTGTGCGGATGGGATACCCAGTCAAAAGAGGTGTGCCTCCTGGGAAAAAGGCCAACCTGGAGCTTATAAAGGTGAGAGTGTCAGCCAAGCCAGCCAACTTAAATAGATCAGTTATTTAAAATGTTGGGAATTTTTTTAGAGGATGACCTTCATCAAAAGTTCTGGACAGATAAATGTTTTTTTGAGAGAAAAGCAAGATTGTTGTGTTTGCGATCTACACTGTATGGCCAAAGGTGTATGGACACCCTTGCTAATTAGTGGGGACTCCTATTTTAACCACACTCATTGCTGACAGGAGCATAAAATCAAGCATACAGCCATGCCCAGCATTTGCAGTCGAATGGGTTGTACTGAGGAGCTCAGTGACTTTATATTAATGGTATTGGTTTTGGAATAGGATGTTCAACAAACACATATGAATAAAATGTTCAGATGTCCACATACTTTTGGTAGTGTAGTATAAATTTTAGCTAACTTAGAGGCTCACAGCATTTTTTTCTGTATAATGACGATCACGCTGTTTAAAAAGAATAACTAGAGAACAATATTAATAAATAATAATAATAATTCTTAAATTTGGGATTCTAAGAGTTATGTCAGTTGTTTGAATCCATGTATAATTTGTTTTGGGGCAGGGGGTGCTGTTCCCTGTTTTGGGGCTTATCGTAGTATCCACAATATGGTGATATTCTAATCATGGGACATTGCCACTCCAAGTATTCGCCTTTATACCAGTATACCTCCCACATCTAAGCTAAATATCTAGCTAGCTCAGTCACTTAACAACTCTCTAAAGGTAACCTGTTTTATTGCTCAAAGCATCTGCTGCTTAACTAATCAAATCCAAGAGAAAATGTCAGATGACATAGTACAGCAACACTCCGTTGTCCATTAGGTTCACAATGCAATGTGAGCAGACCATTTTTATTCTGCCACTGGCAAATTGATTTTGCTAATATGCAGCTACTTTTGTAATACTGTTAAGGCTTAAATGGGAATGTTAGATTTCGTGCAAACTGCTTTCTTTCAGAACACTGACTGTGTTGAGCTTGCTTGTTGTATGCCTCTCTGCTCTCAGTTTTATTTCAATCTGCCAATAATATGAAAATTAACATTTCATGCCGCAATGTCTTACAGATTCCAAACTTCCTACACTTAACCCCAGAGGCCATCAAGAAACACTGTGAAGCCCTTAAGCGTATGCATTTTTATATTTCTACTCTCTTTGCTCCGCTGGTGACAGTCAACATGTTAGTCTTTATTAATACTTTTATTTCAGTATTCATGATTTTATGTTTTTATCAATTCCCCTTTTTTCCCCCTTTTCCCTTTCTCTTCTCCTTTCTTTGATGCAGCATTCTGCACGGAATGGCCTGCTGCTTTGGACTCTGATGCTAAATGTGAGGAGCATTTCCCCATCCAGGTGGAGAGTAAGGACTATGTGTCTGCTGGACCATCACTGAGGAACCCAAACGCTAGAAATATTACTCTCACTGTGAGTTTTGTGCACTGTTGTTCTAAAATGTCTTAGTGAAAGTTTCATAAAGATACAAACGTGTCTGCCTCACTATTTTATGACCATGAAAAGGTAACAGATATTCTGTGAATGCTGTAGAGGGCTGAGTGCATTTGTAAGTCAGTGTAATCAGGTTTTAATTTCATTTTTAAGCAATTTTTGTTTGGTTGTTCAGACTTGTACAGATTTTTGGGATTGATGAACCATGGCTCTGATTGGCAGTCTAGTTTTTAATCACTCTTTACAAACTCAAAAGTCACAGATATTGTTCATGTATGTGTCTGGTGAAATACAAATTCACGTCATATTTAAGAAAACAATATGAAAACCCAGTACTTGCATTTTAATGGTATTACGTTTTAAAATCAGTATGTACAGTCAGAATGCATCGGTGGATGGGGAAATGCTAGTGGGTTAGAACAGGCAGTTATAAAGATGGGAGATGTGTGTCATTCAGCCCCAGTGATTTGCTTTTCAATTTCATCTCCCACCATCTGCTTGACTGACACTTGATGTTAGATTAGGACCCTGACCCAGGAATTTGCATTAATCCTGCTGGATTAGGAAGAGAAAGGCAGGAATCAAAAGACTGTAGGATAAAGCCTGATGTGAGAGAGGATCTGGCTGAAACACAGGGAAAACACCTGAATGAAATGACGTCACACTCTCTGTTAGCACTGGGTGTGTAGTGTACATGTCAGCCTCACTGTAGCTAGACATAGTATTACTATATAGCCTTACTGTTTCCCTCTAAAGTGTGATGAGGCACGCTTAGAACGGCATTAAAGCTAATGTGGTTGTAATCTCTGTTTTTTCTTTGTCAAAGTGGAAGCTTAGAGTAATGATGTCACAATGGATAAGTTTGAGCAGCTCTCCTGATTGGCTGATCCTGGAGAGGATTTGATGGTGGGGAGGAGTCTTGACACTTCACTTGGCTGGTCTCAGCTGACCCTTTGAATTGTTTTGTTTTGAGGAATGTGATTTAGCCTCCCGGAGAAATTTGGAAGACCAGATTAGAGCCCGTGTGCCAGAAATAGCTGGCTGGTCTGGGCATAATGCATTGGAAATCACTGCTTGAGTAAGAGGCTGAAGAAAGAGAAATTGGATGAGAATAGACAGAAAAGATTGATGTTTATCTGTATGCAGTGAGCATTTTCTTGGGCTTTTTAGTGGCCATTGTGGTATAAACAAATAGTCTGCAATAACTGAAGTAGGACATTTTTGAAAATGTCACTCTGTGACCTTAAAACTCTTATAATTGGTTGCATAGATCAGAGATTTGGATAGAATGTTTTTATTGTGTCTCAAATCAGTATTGAATCATTTAATATAAACTAATTAAGTACTGAATTGATTAAAATAAATATGTATTGTATTGACACCATTTTTCTTGTGTCTAATATATTACATAGTATTAATTTTTCCTTGTTTTATTTCAGACAGTAAACATTAAGAACTACATTATTTGCTGTACCATTTTCATATTATTCTTATAATTTTGTTAAGTAATATTTTCTCAGCAAAAATGCAGCTTCCTCAGACATACGGGACTGATTCTTTAAAGGAGTTGTTAACAAAAAAAGTAAATAAATAAAATTTACGCAATTTTTTTTTTACGCAAAATTGTTAGAATTTGCACTGAACTGCAAGGCTAAAATAAGAGAAGTCATTATCACCCAAAAATGATGATGCTGACTTCTGTTATGTTAGCCTTGTAGCTCCAGTATAAAATGGAAGAATACACTTCCATTACTTGTTAGCTACGTTAGCATTACATCACCAATGTGAAACTGAAGAAGCCAACTTTGGAAAACAAATATGTCTTGGCCATTTGCTGTGTTTGAGGTTTGACTGTAATACAAATTTTAGTTCTTCTAGTTCTTCTTCATCTCTTATTTTTTGACGGATAGCCTTACGTTCTATGCAAGCATTGTCTGGTAAATTATGCACTTATGAGCAGAGGTTTGTTTTTTCTCAACTTATTGTGTAGTATCTTTGAGAGCTGACTAGTGAACGTTGGCATAGATTCTCCCTGTACGGAACACTACTTAATGGTTCTTTGAGATGTCTGTTAATCTTCTTGAGGGTGTTAGAAAAGTCTGTCTGCTCTTTGTCGATTGTAAGTAATCTGGATTTTTCTCACAGTATACATAATCTGTTTTATTATGCAATGACTGACTCGAAATGACTTTGTAACATTGTATCCCCTCCCATTCACATGGGTACCAACTGCACCTCTTCTTAGGACCTTTTAGAGATCTGTGAATGCTTCATCTTTTAGTGTTATCACTGACTTATATGGTTTGTACCAAGGCAGACGAAGTTTCACATCTTTGTATAAAGCTCCAGGATATATATATATATATTATTATTATTATTATTATTATTTTTTTTTTTTAGAATCGAATCTCTGTAACCTGTCGTACATATGAAATGTAAAATGAGATATTGTTTGTGTTGTCCATAGGTGAAGCTGTCCAGTTTGAACCTAGATGAGCATGCGAGGAAGAAGATGATCAAACTAAGTGGAGAGCGTTACAACAAAGATACAGACACTCTCACCATCACCACCGACAGGCACGTTATTCAGCTTTTTAGCCTTCATCACTGTTCGAAAAACAGCAACATACTAATTAGATTGTTAATGAGATTTCACAAAAGCTGAAGCAAATCTGACTCTTGAGGCATTGTAGGAAAAATTACTGCATTTTTTTTTTAGTTCTCTTTAAGTGGAATTCCATTGATTTCTCCAACTTTCTGCACAAGTCAATTGTTGATGTCAAAGTTATTCAGAGTGTTTTGATGTGAAATTGTGCATTGTAGAGAAAGATTTTGTATTTGTTTACAGGGGTGGTGATGGGAACCAGGAGTCTCATTGTCTAAATGCAAGTGTATATCTGTTTTATTTATTGTCCAAAATGTGAATGGATTCAAACTATAGATGTTTTAGGCCCACACCTTATCTCACAACTGTTGTAAAACAGTGTTTAGGCATCAGGCAGTGTACTCCTAACCATTTTATATAACAACTTCATGTGGTGTAACTTTAAGATGCATTAAACACTTTAGACGTCTGGTCCTATCACCACCACTGTGAACAATTCACACTCGGTAAGTTTCTTTAAAAAATAGCATTTCACATCAGAATTTATTTTTTTCAGAATTTAAGTTTACATCTTAATCAGATTTTTTTGAAAAATATTATTCCAGCACCAGTTTGATTTCTGCTTTTATGCAGTGGCTGCAATTCATAGGGTCATAGAAGTAGGGGGTGGGGAGGTGGTTGCATTCTGATTGGATGGTGCAATTTAGGATCTGGGACATTAGTGCCCTGGGACTTACTGCTCCTTTGGATTAGTCATACACTCATCTTGATTATGGCTTTTTGAGTTCTGCAAAAACCACAAGAGTCAAAGGGTTATGCTTCAGTACCCCTTTGTGTGGGTTTATTTTTCTTCGGAGGAAGTTAGCTGTAATAAGAATTGTTAAGAAAAACATCATAAAAAGAAAGTACATTAGTACATTACTAACCAAGACTGGTTAGATTCTGACAGGTTTCAGCTGAGTTGTGCTTTAGTGCCCAGGAATGCTTGACTATGATCTAAAACACAAATTTAGTTCAGCACTACTGTATATTTGCCCCTGATATTCTTCTCTGATAGATGCATGAGAAATGTAAAGAAGTTTCTTCATGTATTTCTTGTTCAGCGTAGAGATTAAATGTTTGACGTGTTCCCTGGTTGTCTCCCACATCACAGTTGCCCAATGAAGCAGCAGAACTATAACTATGCCATGTACCTGCTCACTGTTCTGTACCATGAGTCCTGGGTAAGTCTTTCCATTTTTATCCTTGAATGAGAGTTCTGTAAGTGGTACTGCATATGAACTTGATGGAAAGTATCTTTTCTCTGTGTGTGAGATGAGCAACATCTATTCATATCTTTAGTCCTATGCCAAGTGATGGAATGTCTTTCCAAGCAAAAGCACCGCTGGTGGTAGAGGGATGAATATACACTGGAGGCTATATGTTTTCCAAGCACAACAGCTCACCCTTTGCCTTTCATCCTAGACATAAATATTTCAGGCTTTCCATTGTACCCCCACTCATTCCAGTGGGGGGCCTGCTGACAGTTGTGTATTTCCGTGACTCTTTGAGGGCCCCCAAAGGTGGGAGAGAAAGAGAATGAGTAATGGTTTTGGGGAATGTGTGTGTGAGAGGTTGTGCTTACAGAGGTGTGGGGTTGCAGTTAATGAAACCCGTAATATCCTTAGTCTGGATGATTGACTGTGAGATGGTGTTCTATGGAGGTAGATACATAACTGCTCAGATGTCAAGCATTTGGTTTTACATAGAATAATTGGATGTGTTGATAAAGAGAAAGGTACCTGCACTGTGGAGTATGGAGCTGTTAGCCCACTAGCCAAGCTAGCGCTTGCACCACAATCCTCTTCACTCTAAACTGGAGACAATTCATGTTACACATTGTATAACATAGGAATGAGTGATATGGCAAAAATAACATTACAATACCTGAAATAGCACAGTGTGATATTTTGACACTAACCTGCCTTCCGCCCAATGACTGCTGGGATAGGCTCCAGCTCCCCCCTGTGACCCAGAAGGATGAGCAGCTTAGACAGTATGTGTGTGTGTGTGTGTGATATTTTGACACACAAACTTTTCACGTACTGCACTGCACTAAATCCAAAGAAGCATGCAGTTTGTCAGTTTTATTTAAGTAATGGTGATGATTTACCAGAATAAAGATAGTAGTAGTAGTAGTAGTAGTAGTAGTAGTAGTAGTAGTAGTAGTAGTAGTAGTAGTAGTAGTATAGTATAACATGCCATATCATCTCCATATTCAGTTAGATTAGATACTGTGTCAATGGTCCAAATAATACACAAGAATACACAGTGTCTCCCCAAGACGAACTACAAATTCTGGCATGCTGTTGATGCCACTTTCATGCGTCCCTTGAAGTAACGTCAGCTTTTCTAAGCATTTCGTAGTTCGTGTTTTAATCTTTACAGTTATATTGTTCAGCAAAATGTTGTTAAATGCTATTATATTGTATTTGTAGCTACTGTGCTTGTACGATTGCAAAATTGCCATTACACAAAAGCTCCAGCTTTTCAAAATGTTTTGAACGCAACCAGCAGATGGCACAGGTCTGCACCTTTTCTTCCTAGTAGAGGAAAGGGGTGGGGTTTGGGTAGCAGGAGAGCATGGAGTGCTTCTAGTTTGCATAATCTGCATATTCATCAATCGTCTTGTTCTTAATGATTGTAAAGCTTTAGAGATACTCAGTCGTTTTTAGTAGTTTGTTTGGAAAAAATATGTAAAAATGTGTCAAATAATTTTAATTGTACTTTTATGTATACATATAAAAGCATAAACTCTAAATCAAAAGCTGTAACTAATAGCAATCAAGTGTGTAAATCAATTAGTTGTCTTTGTGAAGTATTTGTTGCACCCTATTCGCATGAAACAATTAGAAGGATTTTTGTGACTGTAGTGTAAGCTTAGTGTAGATGGAACACCGATTTCAGGGAACAGTCTTAATACGATACGCTTGAACTTCTCACAGGCAGATATAAAATCTGTTCTTTCTCACATTAGTCCACTCAGTCAGTTTCATTCAGTCTTGCACCAAAAGACCACACCATTTACCAACACACTGCCTACCTGCCCTTTGCTGTTTCACTCTGTCTTTAGGAGTAAAAGAAAAATGTTAGGCCTTTAACTCAGACAGGTATAAGGCAAAACCCTTGAAACCTTTTCCAGATCACTTTACTTCCCCTTACGTTACTGAATTCCTCGCTGATTGCCTCAGATGGACCCAGTTTGACTCAGATAGAGTCCAGTGTATTTTCCCAGCATGTCATGCTCACAAGGGACCATGTGGCCTGAGTGTTTTGGAACTTGGGCCTTAGCACTGCTGTAAAGACGAGGCTCCACTGGAGAAAGGCCATGAGGGGGTATTGTTAGCTGTCCTGGCTGGGAAGTGTAACTGTGTCCACTGGCCTTTGCAGGTACAATGGCTGCCACAGTAGTGCCTGTGAATGGATAGACACAGCTAGAGTGACGTTGGGCTGCAGAAGGAGGGGGACAGGAGTTGACAATGGGGGTGATTGTTGGTGACCGCAGGGGTGATTATATCTAAGACCTGATTTACTTGCCAATAGTGCTACCGGCTAATCCATTCAACCAGTACTCAAACTAATAGCAGGACAGAACTGCTCCTGGAAAAAAAATTGGACACAGGTTGTTGTGAATGCTTCAGTTTACAGAAGCACCACAGATTCCATTCACATTTCTGTTTAAAACATATGTCTGCGTCATTCATTATCTGGTCATTGTGGTTGTGACACAAGTTTGTGATGTCGGTAACAAAATTGTAAACAGTTTTTGTTATTTAATAGGCTATAACTTTTGTAAACCTGCTACAGAAAAAAACAACTTAAGTCACTAAGTCAACTATCAGTTAAGCCAGGAACATATTACATAATTTTATTTTATCTATGACCGACAACAGGCAAGCTTATCTAATGGACTTTATTGATCATTTGATCTTAAATGTAGATCGTTTTAAATGGATATTTGTTCAATTATATGGCAGAGTGTTGGTCCATGAGATCTTGCTGTAAAGGATTGGGCTGCTTCCACACAGATGGCCTTTTAAAGGTACCATAATGCCTGTAGCATCCTCAATTATGTCCTTATCCTCTGCAGTAAAAGGGTAATCACATCATGTAGCCAGAAACTAATTGATCTGCTTCTTTAATTTGGGACTTTAAATTCAATCACAGGGTCACCAACCACTCAATACTATCTGTTTGTTGTAAGTGATGCCCAAAGCTTTAGTTTAAGAGGAAAACCAAGAAGGATGTTCAGAAAGAAGTAGTGAGGGACTGTTTCTCTTTTTTTCTGCTGTTGGCAGGGATGTTAGTGAGCAGTATAGTAATGATAGTTATTAGACTTGAGCACCTGGACTGGCGAGAGGGTTTATCTGCCCTGGGGCATGCATATGGCAACACACAGACAAATACACAAAACAAAGGAGCTTTTGTATGGGATCCTCTTGTATGATTGAGTTCGAGACAGGCTGCTGATGGAGCTGTATGCTTGGGGAAACTTGAGCCTCTGTATATGAGTCGTCATATCAGTAAAATTCAGCTGCGCTGTATACAAACATGACTACACTCAGAAACTGTCTCTTCTCTAAAATCGAATAGTAAGCTAGGGAGATTGAGCTAAGCTGGCTAATGCCAGAACAGGTCATGATTGTTGCTAAGCATGTGCTCTGTTGAGCTTTTTGGCTCTGGTCTCAGCCTGGTGTTACTTAGACTTTCCTGTCTCCTTTTCCTAACTGCATCTATTTGGAGTGAATATAGTTATGATTCACAGGGTTCCTGTGAATCATTAGAAAGTCTTAAGTCTTAAAAAAACATTTTCAAATTTAAAAGTCATGAAATGTCTTATTGTTTTCTTATTGTTTTCTATTAGAGTTATTAAATGTAAGCTGTCCAGGCACAGGCTAGGTGTTAAAAACAAAACTATCGCAGAAACATTCATTTTTTAGGCCATGCCACACTGCTTCAGGTTTTAAATTGCCAACAACAGAAACTGCTTTTGATTTTAACCCTTGTGTGGTGTTGATGTTTTTGTTACTCAGTGGTCTGGTGGACCCACCACATTATTTATTTTTTTTTAAATCATAGCCATAACAATTTATGTAAAAATAACAGATGTTTAAAATATCACAAGTGGTCAGCATAGGGTTCTCCTTTAGCAGCTATAGCCAGTCAGCAGCCTGTCCATGTTGTCTATCCTCACACACACACACACACACACACACACATATACAATATATATATATATAATATATATATATATATAATATATATATAAATATATATATATACAAACACACACTAACAGCAGGCCATGTAGGAGGAGAACAGAGTGAAGAGACACAGCAACTCCATACTTTTATTCCCCACAGGTTCACCCCATCACCACATGTGTAATTTAAATGTGTATGGGGTTTACAGTGTGAAGGCACTGAAAATGTGTTATTTTATATGTTCTTCACAGAAAATGAGCAAAGGCTAAGGAATCTGAGGTTGAAAAAATAATAATAATAATAATAATAATAATAATAATGATAATAATAATAATAAATCCCATCATTTTTTATTTTGGTAAACACTGAAAATGGGTCCCACAGACCTGAACACCAAGGGTTAAAAATATGCAGCAACCCTGTTATAGTGATCCAGTATTCAAGAAAGTTTTTATATCTGAAAATTTAATTATTGGTTTGCTGGGTTGCTGGATTGCTTTTGTTGTCTATGTTTCACCACTACATAAATAATACCAGAACAAGTGAACTGAGTCATAATTAAATTTGAATAATTTCCTAAAGAATCAAATCTAATTGAATCATTGTAACATTAGAGATTTTACACCCATGACTAATTTCCAGACTGTTTCATTTTCATCTGCCTTTTTTCAGAAAACAGAGGCTTGGGAGAAAGAGAAGACACGCGCTGATATGGAGGAGTACGTTTGGGAGGACAGCCTGTCTCAGAAGAACATTCTGGAAACCTTGTTGCGCATGCGTCCACTCGGGGAGAAGGAGGAGGAGGGGGAAGTGCGGGAGGAGTTACTGGGGCGAGCGGAGGTGCAGGAGTACAAAGACTCAGTAACCAAGCTGAAGAACGAGGGAGAGACTGAGAGCAACATGCAGCAATACAAAGAAGCGGTGAAGAAACTTCTCAATATCTGAGGAACAGTGTATAGATGAGGGAGAGAAGGTGGACATTAGCCTTGCCAAGCCAAGAGTGCTGCTTTAGGATCAGTTTCTAGCCATATGTAACATAATGAAAGCAGTTGATATGATGGAACTGATCCTAAATCATCACTCTTGCGCTGAGATCCTTGATACATGTGGGCTCCAGTCTCAAACCAAGCAGTTGAGACCTTTCCATCTTTATCACGTGATTAAACATTCTCACAGCACAGTGTTTACCTATAAAGATTCAGTTTCTTAGGACTAAGGTGCACAAGTGCTTCTCGATTGACTAACCATTGATAAAGATGCCATTCTCCTTTGGCGTCAAATACACAACGTCAAGTACTAGTAGTATATGCTTACAGACTAATTGTTTAAAAGTTAATTGGTGGTCCTGTTCTTATTTTTTGATATGTATTTATATGTATCAATAGCAAATTAAATTGTCTGGTGTTTACAAACCACATTTGCTGCCTGCTTACCTGAGTTGTGAAATTAGGGCAGTTTAAAACTATTTCCTGCTCTAGCTTGGCAGTTCTCTTTCTGACACATGAACGTGAATTGGTCAACTCTTCCTAGCCTAAAACGCATCATTCTCCTTAAAAGCAAATTCCGTACCATTATAGACACCCTGCTCAAAGGATGCTTTCAAGCAGAGTCTGGTAAATATACCCTGTTGCTCCATTAGGTTCCACTCTGATCTGCTGGTTATGGGAAAAGAGTAATCCGAGACATTCGAAAGAGTTCCGGCTTCTTCCATTTGGGCATGGGGAGAAAAACTAGTCTGAGCCCAGGTGGCAGTACCACTCTTTTAACAACTCCAAGCACTTAGGGACCAACTGCCTTTAAAGAACAAAACTGAGCTTGTTGGCTGTCTTGCTTGGAAGCACCCATAATACTACTTAACGTTTACTCTGCTGGCTGAGTTTCCTTGCAGAGTTCGGTATTACTTTGTATGTGGGTGTGGGCCTTCCAGGAATAGAATGGCTCATCTATGTAGACAAAATAAAGCATAAGAACATAATCTCAGAAAGCACCTGAAACCAAACAGGAATGCTGACATCTGTCCAGTGCACCTGTTTCAGCTAATAACCAAACCATCCTTTGTATTCAGGGCGTGTTGTGAAAGATCCACTCAGTTATTTACCTGAACTCTATTTAGTAGATAGGAACAGACTTGTTTTAATATAAAGATTAAGATTACATATGAAAGATCTTCTAAAAAGAATCTTTTTCAGGTACATTCATGACTGTCCAAAAGTCAGATATTCTAATGTGTAATACTTAATAGTTCTAACACTTATCGCAGTGGACTACTATGGTTAATGACAATACTGCACCTTTATAAGAAATGATAGATATTGATCCTTAAATGTTATAACTGTATGGAGGAGGGGGTTATCCACTGAATCTGGTCATTTTCAGTCTGTTTTCCACAATACTGCCCTTAGCAAGTTCATTTGGAGCAGGATATTAGAGCATTCAGGTTTACACACATAGTTCCTTCTTAGTCTCACACATAATATATGGATTGCCAATTTCTTCATCCTTCTGTGGAACATAGCTATGATGATGATGATGCGAGGATACTTTCCGCACTTTTGTCAGAGTGAATTGTGACTGGGACATACAAAAGTTACATTTATTAGCAGCTCCTACAACAAAAAACACCTTCGAACCTTATGAGTTCTTCCAGTCTTACGAGCTCTCTCTCACAATGACGTACTTGATAAGTCTCATAGAGCCGCTCTTGCCTCTTAGAGTAGTCCGGTATCTCCCCTTCCTCCTCCTCCTACCCCTCCAGCTCACCGCCATAAGCACTGAACAGCAACAACCGAACGCTATGGTTGCGCAAGTTGCCAAGGCAACCAGGACAGTGTTAGCTGCTAAATGCCACACTGGTGTTAAGCCTCCGTCGCCTCCAGGCCGCGGGCTGTCACCTGTTGTAATGTTCCGGCTTATGTATCCTTTTGTGTCGTTGGGGTATGGCTGGCTGTCCTCCATGCTGGTAGGGGTGGTCAGTGAGGTGGTCACTGAAGCTGCTGGAGGTGAAGAAAGTGTAGTTGAGGTTGTGGAACCAGAAGAGGTTGTGGAATGCTCAGTGGTAGTTCCATTGGTGGAGGTATCCACTTGGCCATCTGTTGTTGGGGACTGAGTGTTACCTCCTTCTGCTACTGTAGGGTTTGAAGATATAGTGTTTGTAGGCTGAAGATAGGGCCAAGCTATGGTTGCCTGGCTTCCAGGCATCTGTGGTTGTGTAGTTGTTGTTTTCAGCGTAGTAAGAGGGGTCAGTGCTGAGGCTGCATTTGTAGAGTTTAGCTGGACTGTAGCAAGTGTACTGTGGACTGAGGTCTTATCTGTAGTGTTTTGTTGAGTACTGATGAGTGGGGTTGTTGTAGGTTTGCTGTTGAGTGTTGTACTGTTAGATGAACTCAGGGTAATGAAGGTGGTAGATGAGGTGTGACTGGCTGGAGATGCTGTTGTGGATGCCCATGCAGTTTGACTAGTGGTAGACGCCATTGTGGTTTGACTGGTTACAAATTCTTTTGTAGATGCCACCATGGTTTGACTGGTTGTAGGTGCTGTTGTGGATGCCAGTGTGGTTTCACCAGTTGTAGAGGCTGTCGTGGATGCCCATGTGGTGGTTGTAGGCTGGTATGTTGAGCCTGGTGTGGGCTGACTGGGGAATGATGAAACTGTTTTGGCAGTGGAAGGAGGCTGGGAAGGTAAAGTCAAGCTGTTCTGAGATGTGTAGAACACAGATGAAGGTCGCAATGTACTCTGTGGAGCTGTGGATGCCCATTTGGTGGAAGCAGTAGTAGTGGGATGTGGTGAATGATTGGCAATAACTTGAGTTGCACTGGGTTGAGTGGGGCTCCTTAGGGTGGATCTCTGAATGGAAGGGGCAGGAGGGATATTGTGGGTAGAATCAGTGGAGACAGGAGAAGTAGAGACAGGCACTTCAGATGTAGGTGAGATGGTAGATGTACTTGTGCTGGTGGCAGGAGTGGCAGGGTGAGTAGAGCTGCTCGGTACCATGTGAGGCCGGTTGAACTGACGCTTGTCAGAGGCGAAGGGTTCAGAGACATTGACCCTGGACGAGGCATGGTTAGGCAGCACTTGGAAGTTAGAGGTAAAGTGTTTCCCAAACACCAGCAGGTCAGGATCCACACCTGCAGAACACATCTGGAATCAGCTCATACAGTGAAAGTAAAGTTTCAAGCAAATGTGTTAAAATTACACACTGAGAGTCAAACATGTGGCTGTCCAATTCACCATTATTTAACATATGTAAAACATGATATAGGCCTTTGAAACTAGAGGTTTAATACAGTATTTTAAACGGTCAAAGGTATTTTGAGTGGCATATACTTGTTAGCCCACCTTTAGTAACATTATAGAGGATGACATTGCCTCTTTGGCGGAGGATGCAGCTTTCCAGTGTTGGGCAGTGGAGGTGAAAGCAGTTGGCACTGTCCTGAGTGGTGTTGTAATGATACACAGCCAGGTTACAGGAGACTGTAGGATGCAATGACAGGAAATGACAAACTGGGTAGGTGCTTTTGGTAGGACTACTATCAAGCTGACTATTCTTAGAGCTGAAAGAGTGCCATGCAGGTATCTGCTCTCTGAGCATGAGTTTAATATCTCACAGTAAGGCTTTAGGGTGAAATAGACCCTGGGTTGCTAATTTTAAAGATGAAACAGACTACAGGACAGCAGGAAAACATCTAGAGCACATATGTCAGGCTCTAGTCCTAGCAGGCCAAAACACTGCAGACTTCAGCACACTGTCTCATTAAACACACCTGATTCAGCTCATCGGCTAATTAGCAAGGCCTTCGTGAACTGAATTCGGAGCATTAGATGAGGGTAAACGCTGCAGCATTTTGGACCGGAAGGTCCCCAGTTTGACATGCCTGGTCTGGAGCATGCATTTAGTTTGAGAAAATGTTTTGTCATATGTATCTTTTGAAGTAGAGTTAAGTGCAGGATTGCTACACTGATGACACAGATCTAGCTGTGGCAGTTTAATCCCCAACACCCCAAGGCTCTGTATAAGGTCCTACACTTCAGGTCCTCCCTCCCATAACTACATACTACATTAGTTACTGAATAATTCATAGTAGCTACTGAATAATACATTTTTATTTCAAATAACTGAATAATAAATAATATTTATAAATAATGTTATATACATTGCACTGGGAGAAAACATGAAAACATTGCAACACATGGAGTTTTATAGTGGTAGTGTTAAAATGTAGGTAGTGCTGGTATAAAACCAACCTGGAAAGAAATTCAGGCAACATTGAATGTAATGGATTTGTGAACAGTTCACTACTGGTGGGTTATAACTGGACCACAGTTATACTACAGTTATACTACTACTACTACTCCTAATAATAATAATAATAATAATGCATTACTTCTGTATTTATCTACTTCCATATATAATGCTGCTCAAATCATTTCAAAGAGGGTTAAATGGCAAAAAAGATTGTGGAGAGATGTGAATTGTTTTCACAGCAGGGATTCTCGCCCCTCCCCTCCCCTCATCAGCTCAACACAGTCAACATTTCACACACAGAGAGCCAACAGTGTCCTAGTTAATCGATAATAGAGTTACAAAGAAAATATTTAAGATAATGTTAATTCTATTGATTAAAACTATCTGAGTTGATCTGCATTCTGCCAGCAGAGTGGCCACTAAAAGGCCTGCAGAAAGAGGCTGAGTGCAGTGGCGTAGTGCAAATTTCAGGGGCCCGTAGTGAGAGTGAGAGTCATGGCTCTGTATGGTTTTGGGTCTGGTACACAGGCTAAACTTACACAGGTAACCTGAAATCAAAACTGACCCTTTTTAGTTCATTTTGTTAGTTTAAGTCTGTGGCCATATTAAGCACAATTATTTATATCATTTAAATGACAGAATTCTTTTTTTCCCTGTAATTTTCCATCACAGTGTAATGACATTTTCCCTTTAAAATGTATCTGCCTTTAAACTGTCTTTTGATTCTTGATTACATCACTGTGCACCAATAAGCAGTCAAAACATTATTAATCAGTGATGTCATGTTTTACCTTCCCATCCCGTTTCTCATTTCTGGATGGAACATTTAAAAAACCAAATGAATTATTATACCTGAGGATGTATTGGTTTGCAAATATAGGGGTCAGTGACAGATCTCTGGTTTACAAAGGTTTTACTCTGTAGTATCTTTTGCAAGAGTAGTTGTTTATTACCAACAGCCCGTCTAACTGCAGACACGCTGCTCAGAGGTTAGATAGCAAACCGACTCTTATAGAATAACTAACACTTGACATTCATGCCAGCAGCCTCTGACTACTCTATTATGAATAAAAAAAAATCAACATTCACAATCTATTTTTATCCTCTGTTGGTTGAAAAACAGCCAAAATGGACCAATAAAAATGCTTAATAATCACCAAATGAGACTGACCGCTTACATCTAAATCCTGCTCCTCTGTATGTAAAAACAATTGCAGTGTAATATCTTCAGTCATATCTAAGTACACTGTTTATACTGCAGTATACTCTAATATAGATGTATTTCGACATACAGTGCTGTGCAAAAGTTTCAGTCTCCTGAGAAAATAAGGTTTAAGAAGCTTTTTATCTTGGCTGTAAATGTTTATTTGCTCAGACCAGCACTAACGTTAAAATAAATACAGATTTGAAAACTGCAGTGTTAATTTGTGTCTGATCAAGCTGAGCAGCACGGGTTATAAAAGAGCATGGAGTGGAGTTTCCCAGAGTTCTTAGCGGTTTTGTTGATCAGTTTGTTAGCTCTTTATCCGTCAGGTGTAGTTTTCACGTTATACACTGGATACGTTTGGATGCAGTTTTAAACTGTCTAAAGACTGAAGTGTAATATTAGTATGAAAGTTAAGAAATACAAAAAACTTTAGAAGCCAGAAAAGTGAATATAAGCAGTGCTGTAAAGGTAAACAGGCGAATTTGATGCTCTGTCGTCGCTTCTCTAACTTAAAAACACCTGTAACGCCAGTCTGAGTGCTGACTGCTCACACTGCGTTACACTTCAACGCTCACAAGTTTTCAACACAGTAAATAATTAAAACAAACGGGAAAAATATAGTTTTAAAACTTAATTTATTTGAGGCAGCGACTTTCCTCAAATGTTGTGAGTAAACAGACCCTAAGAGGTTGTTGTTCGAGGGTTCTTCAGTAAAGGGAACGGTTCTGTATTTGAGCTCTATGTAGAAGCGGTGTGAGTGTGAGGGCAGGTTAAGCTGTGAGCCGCTGCTGTGAGGCTCAGTGATGGTAACTCACAGTTGGCGGCGAGGCAGCAGGCGCGGCTGCACTGGAGCGCGCTCTCCTCCTGATAGAGCTGCAGCAGAGCGGCTCCTCTGCGCTCTGACTCCTCCACGGCGATGTAGAGCCCGGGAAAGCGGCGGATCCAGCAGTTCCTGTAGTAGCTGGTGGGGGAGCACACGGGGTCCGCTTGCTTAAGCCAACTGAACAGCCACAGCACGATCCATGCGATGGTCATCGTTTAGATGGAGCTCCGAGAAGGCGCGTCAGACCATGTTAGCGCGAGCGCGGCCGAGGCGCCGGGCTGTGTGCGTGCGTGTGTGTGTGTGTGTGTGTGAGCTACAGGCGGGGCAGGTGTGTGTGAAGGAATGGAGGGAGTAAGATGAGTCTAAATCTGCTCCCACACCCTCCTTCTACACCCGGGACATCAGGGAGCATCCCATAGAAACCCAGCATATACTGGAATGATGGTCTTCTGTAGTTGAGAGGAGGAAAAAAGGCTGAACAGCCATGTGAGGAACTTATTAGAGTCATTTTTCTGTAAATTTTTGTGTAACACTGTATTTGGAGTGGTCCTTTGTAGATGATTAATAAACTCTTAACAGGTTATCAGTAACACATCAACACCATATCAGTGAAGTAGCAGTAGTGACGCATCTGAATACACTGAAGTAAATATCTTGAAGATGTTCTGTAAACAAATTGCTTACATCAAGCAGATGTATTATTAATATGTTACTTCCATTTCGTAAAACCTAACCTTAACCAACCTTACCCAAAACCTAACCCTGGCCCTAATCCTAACCCTAACCTTAACCTCAACCCAGAACCTAACGCTAAACCTAACATGTCTTTGACATGTTACGGAGAGTCTGTTGAGTGTTTGTTTTATCTAAAAAGGACCAATTTAAGTGCACAATTTCTATTTATCTGCTGAGTTTAACATATTGGAAAAAAATGAATCATAAAATACTAAATGTGCCACAACTTTTGCACAGGCCACCTTTTATATCTCTTTTTTACCACTATATTAAATTCCACAAATAAACAGTAATAGTGCATTAATGCATTAAATTTTCAGATTTTTTTTGTCTGTAGAGTTTGTTTGTTTATTTATTTTCACTCAGAAAATCAACAAAACGTCATTTGTGTAGGGGTGCCTAAACTTTTGCATATTACTGCAGGTTCTACAAGTCTCTTGAGCTGCAGTGGAGGGCTGGACAATCATTCTTCCAAAAGATTTTGCCCCAGTTGGTGTTTTGTTGATAGTATTGGAGCACCACTGAACACATCTGTATAGTCTCTGGTGACTGTAGCACATCATATAGCATGTGATTTACATCATTCTCATCAAACCATTCAGATTAACCTGTTTATAGTATATTTGCCTTGGTGTGTTGTTAATGTCTTTAAGTTGGTTATGACACTGAAAGTGGCTTATATTGAGCACAGTTAAGCATGCACAGGTTTATTCGTTGTAAATATGTCAGATATGCACAACCACCTTCAAACCACTAGATGGCAATACTGCTATGTATCAGGTTCTGGCAAAAAGCAATGCAGAAGCTGAGAACATTCTTGGTCCTCAGAAAGCTTTTTCATTTAGTTCCGAAATGAGCAAACATGATCAGCTTGCTGTTGCTGCTCCGAGAGTAAAGACACTGAAAGGGCTTCGGGACCTTGAATTAAACCATTAGTTGGAATTGAGTGTAGGGCCTAAAAGAGAGAGAGAGAAAGAGAGAGAGCAGATAAATGCCTGGTTTCAGAGACTGAGGGCACTGCTGAAAAAAGAAAGAAAGAAAATGAACCAAGCTAGAAAGACGTACTGTACAGACAGAAAGCCGGTTTAAAGTTAAAGGAAGGAACTATTACAGAAGATGCCTTTAAACTACCCAGACAGCAGACAGTTCTGGGCTGATTCTGGCTTTTCTACACGAGTGTTGGTTAACTGCTGGGCAGATGTTAGGCATGTGGGCCAGAATAGGGCCAGATCCTGTACAACTTAATACAGTTTTGCCTCCTGTCCATGTTTGTGGACCAATTCTGCCTACAAAATGTTGTGGACCAACACTGTAATTGGGCCAGCCTTGGGCAAGATCAATTAGTTCTACTTACTTTACAGTGTGTGAGCAGATCTGGGCCGAGGACCCAGCTGTAGACGGGGCCAGAACAAACACAAGGATGTGGCCAACAAAGGGGCCAGACAAATTTTGCTAACTGGGTAGAACGTTTTCAGAACCTTGAATATGGTAATCAACAGCTAAAAGACTGTCTGTGGAAGAAGGATTGAGTGATAGAGCAGAGAAAAGAAGTGGAGAGCAGAAAAGGAAGACATGGAGAAGATAGTGGAGATGCTGTGTGGTGCTGTAGGTATTGCAGAGCGGCTGATGAGTTTACTCTTTCAACCAGATTGTTGTTTTTTTCTTGATCGGTAGACAGTAACTAGTGAAGCCATTTACCAGTTCTATTTTCTTAGTTACATGAACTCGACATTTGATGGATTTTTATTTTTCTGAATATTTCAGTTTCAAATGATAAAACTTTTTTCTTCTACTAAGTTTAATTGTGAGGAATTCAATGTTACGTTTACGTTAGTCTTACACATTAGTTACTAAATTCCCTTTTTGTGTTTAGTTTAGTGTGTTCTGTATCATTATTATACAAAGAGTGCATAGAAAAAGAGAGAGCCTAACAGTCTTCATTTCCTATGTTCTGCAAGTTAGTGAAGTTACTTAGTACTGAAAGTGTTTTTAACAGGTACTTTTGTATTTCAACTCAAGTTGTTTTTTGGAAAGATTTTTTGGAGAGAGAAAGAGAAAAAGAGAGAGGGACAAAAAGAGACAGAAAGAGTGAGAGATACAGAAAGAGAGAGATCTTTACCAAGTGTAAGTACTGCTGTGATGAATAGTCACAGTACTGTGAAAAACATGCTCTTTAAAGTAGAATGAAGAATGTCTGTTTGGCCACCAGAGATGCCCTTGGTGATTCACAGCGAGGTATTTAGTTTCAATCAGAGTTGGTTTAATGCAAAAGAATTCATCTCAGTCCTTGACAGCATTCAGGCCATATTTTTGCTTTGCATCTCTTGATTGTCTGATTCTCAGCAGGCTTTTTGCTCACTGCTGTGTTGTGACAGGACTCTTTGAGGACTGTACTAAAGAACTCTTCTATTGCATGTACAGTCAGTATTAAAAGTAGGCTGGAGCTGAAGTCCAGTGCATCATGGTTTATGGTTTATATCAGTGCGGACTGTCATCCAGGAAGACAAAATGATCCAATCTTGAATGTTTCATAGTTTGGTGTGTTGTTGATGTCTGCAAGCTGGTTGATACTGAAACTGGCAAATACTGAGCACAGTTAAGCATGTCCAAGTTTCATTTGTAGCCAAATAAATGAATTAATAGTAATACCAAGAGGCCAATTTAAAAAAATACCAAGATGGTAAACTTGCACTACCACTTTCAAACCACTAGAGGGCAACATTGCTCGGTATCAGGGACTGGCCAAAAGCGAAGTATCAACTGAGAACATTCAAAGTGCTACAAGTCTATAAACTGTACAGACTTTTTGTTATTTGCTGTTTCCCACTTCTGCAATGTAAAAATGAAAAAGAGTGGTCAATTCAAAGGCTGCCACACTCGCTTTATTTCATTTCTTTTATCAAGCTGTTATTTGGCAGATTCAGCCCCCTCATTGATAAACACAGAGTAAAATCAAACAAAGGATTCCATTGTCAAGTACTGATATGCACAGATCCATGTTTATTTCCCCACTTTTCTCTGTACAGACTCACATTGGCTGGTTCTGGCTTTCTTTGTGTCTCCTTCTGCAGATGTGAAGAATTTGGCTTCAAGTTAACTCAAGTATAGCACGCTTCTTTTCATCCAACATTAGAAATGATAAATAGTACATAACAAATTGGGTTCAAACAGTGTAAGTCAGTGTTTTCCAGCGCTGCTCCTGCACATCACCTGTGTTTCTGCTCTAAAACATCTGTTTCAGCTCATGAAGGACTATTGCTGATGGATTTGGCTGAAGTTGAGAAACACTGGTTCTGTCTCCTGCATTCACTCTTTTCAGTACACAGTTATGATGTTTTGTTTTATAGCTGGCTGAAATATAGTGAAATCAATATAATATAGCAACGGGACAAATATAACTTATGTTTCAGTGTAAAATACCCTTTTTTCTCCACCCTTGAGTCTGAAAATGTTGTCGTATAAATCTCTGGCCGCCAGGTGATCACCAGTCTTGGCGCTACCCATGCAACTGTGTAAAAAGACACTATAACAAACACTCTTGAGTAAAATTAGATTAAAGAGGAGGAAAAAAAAAACATCTTCATGCAAATGTCCTGCTATCACAGGTTCCGTTATACAAAAGAAAAACAGAGATCGCAAACGCCTGCCAGACACTGACATTCCTGATTGACATTCAGGCAATGACATTCCTGACATTCTACAACATTCAGGCTGTGGTTCCGATTCCGGAAGGTTCCAGTAGTGAAGCCTCTCCTGCTGGGGCCTCGGGACAGCAGTGCTGTGGAGCCATTCACCCCCTCATCGTCCCTGACCGGACCACTGGAGGCTATGACTGCAGTCAGTAGGGGGAGCTGTGGTGGTGGTTTTAGCTGTAGTAGTAGTAGTAGTAGAAGTAGTTGTAGTGGTAAAAGCAGGCTTGAGCCTGGGCTGGGCCTCACTGTCAGTCTTTGACCAGTCTGTAGATGTGATGCTGGGCGCCGTGCTCGCTGGTGGATACTTCAAATACATACGCCACACATAACAAAGTCTCCAGAGTGTCCCTGTTAGTAACAACCTGAGACAGACAGAGGTGGAGAAGAGAAGAGAAAGATGATCAGGTGATGTGAATCAGTCTGAATATCATGACATGGAATTCATTCTCCAGCACAGGTGGACAGAGTAGCCTAAACTGCAGTGGAAGTAGATAGGTGGGTACTATTCTTCTCTTATGAGGATCCTTTAAATCAGCATTTTGTAAGCCTGCTCGTGGTGGCCCACAATACTGCACATTTTCGAGTATTCCTTGACTCAACATGACTGTTTCAGCTCAACTGATCCCTGAGCCCACAATGAGCTCGCATCAGGTTAGGGTTGCCACCTATTCCTGGTGAAATTCCTGGACGCTTGATGTATTGCTCGATATTTTTTTTACTAATTTTCTGGGTTTTTTCCACCTGCTAGCTAGGTCTCCCCCAAAGCTGGGAAGGTGAAAGCTAAT